GCATATAGGGAAAATCAATGACCCCTGGGGCGGGGCCAATTTTTGACCCCAGGGCTTTTTATTTGAACAAACTTGGTAGACACTGATAAGAAGATGTTTCATGCTTAATATGCTTAGCTCTAGCTCTTTGGGTTCTTTAAGAGAAGATTTTTTTGAGTTTTTACTATATGCACAAAGGGAAAATCAATGACCCCCTGGGGCTGGGCCAATTTTGACCCCAGGGCTTTTATTTGAACAAACTTGGTAGACATCCATTAGAAAACATGTTTTACGCCAAATATCTAAGCTCTAGCTCTTTGGGTTTTTTTTAGAAGAAGACTTTTTTAAGTTTTTACTATATGCATATAGGGAAAATCAATGACCCCCTGGGGCGGGGCCAAATTTGACCCCAGGGCTTTTATTTGAACAATCTTGGTAGACACTCATTAGAAGATGTTTCATGCTTAATATCTTAGGTCTAGCTCTTTGGGTTCTTTAAACGAAGATTTTTTTAAGTTTTACTATATGCATATTGGGAAAATCAATGACCCCCTGGGGCGGGGCCAATTTTGACCCCAGGCCTTTTATTTGAACAATCTTGGTAGACACCGATTAGAAGATGTTTCATGCTAAATGTCTTAGTTCTAGCTCTTTGAGTTCTTTAAAGGAAATTTTTTTAAGTTTTTAGTATATGCATATAGGGAAAATCAATGACCCCCAGGGCGGGGCCAATTTTGACCCCAGGGCTTTTTATTTGAACAAACTTGGTAGACATACCATTAGAACATGTTTCATTGCCAAATATCTAAGCTCTAGCTCTTTCGGTTTTTTAGAAGAAGATTTTTTTAAGTTTTTACTATATGCATATAGGGAAAATCAATGACCCCCTGGGACGGGGCCAATTTTGACCCCAGGGCTTTTATTTGAATAATCTTGGTAGACACTCATTAGAAGATGTTTCATGCTTAATATCTTAGCTCTAGCTCTTTGGGTTCTTTAAAAGAAGATTTTTTTAAGTTTTTACTATATGCATATAGGGAAAATCAATGACCCCCTGGGGCGGGGCCAATTTTGACCCCAGGGATTTTATTTGAACAATCTTGGTAGACACTCACTAGAAGATGTTTCATGCCAAATATCTAAGCTCTAGCTCTTTGGGTTTTCTAGAAGAAGATGTTTTAAAGTTTTTTTCTTTTGGTTGCCATGGCAACCAGAGTTCTGCATGGAATGGAATTCTTTGAACAACTTTGTTAAGGCTTCACACAAGGAACATCTCTGTGAAGTTTCATTATGATCTGCCTTATGGTTTCAGAGGAGATGTCGTTTGAAAAGTGTCAACGGACGACGGACGAAGAGTGATCCTAATAGCTCACCCTGAGCATATGCTCAGGTGAGCTAAAAAAGGTAAAAATTGGATGCTATCTATGTACAGGTTTTGTTTGTTCAATTAGTCTTAATATAACATCAATAAATAGTGTGAAACAGATTTACAAGATTTTAACAAAAGTAATTTATATATGTATATACATTAGAACTAAAAGAATATTAGTGATAAAATTAAGCCCACATTCATAATATCACTAGTTTGCCTTATTTTCAAATGATATCTCAGATACTTGTTAAAATTCTAAAGCTAAAATCTCGAGAAAAATTGTGCTAACTGTTCCTATTTGTATGTCTATTTTACATCAATGTACAAAACGGGTGTAATTTCAAGCCCATATTCTTAAAATTGGTGACTGATGACATGTATGATTCTAAAATTATTTTGTGTAAAAAAAATTAAAAAGGTATCGATATTATGCAGTTCAATTTTGATTTCTTTAAAACATTAATACATGTAATATATATGATATTAGCCTTTCTATTATAAAGGCACAATCTACAAGATTTTGTTAATGTTTTACCAAAATAAAATTTAACTGACACTACCCAAAAAAAAACATCTTATTTTTCAAATGTAAATATTTCATATTGTATACATAATAACATTACACTTTATAGATTTAAGCTAGCAAAGTTATAAAAAATAAATAATTAATGGTTTATGCTAGCAAAGTTATAAAAAATAAATAACTAATAGTTTAAGCTAGCAAAATTATAAAAAATAAATAATCAATGGTTACATATACACAGAAACAAGAGCTGTCAGAAGGACAGCGCGCTCGACTTTTTTAGTGCTTGCCTATAAAACAAAACTTTGACAGTTAAGGGCACACAAGACTTTAACTAGGAATTTCTAAGTACAAATCAAGAAATATTTTCACAGAGTTATCTTCTCTTGCTTACAGATAGGTCTCATGATGGCACATAAGAACTCCAACTTCCAAAGTAATATCTCAAATGGTTAGGTCAACAAGTGGACAAGAATGAAAATTTTAACTGAGTTTCTAAGTCAAAAAGGGCCATAATTCAAATAAAATCCTTAACAGAATTACCTTCTCCTGCCCATGTTTGGGACCATGATGGTAAACAAGTATTCCAACTTTCAATTTAATATCTCAACCAGTTCAGTCAAAAAGTTGACTGGTACAAAAAACTTAACCAAGATTCTAAGTCGATAAAAGGCCTTAATTTTTAAAACAAATCCCTGACAGAGTTACCTTCTCTTGCGTACAGATGGGGTAATGATGTGAAATAGCATTAAAAGTTTCAAAAGCAATATCTCAAAGGGTTAAGGCAATAAGTGGATTTTACCCATATTCAATGTATTTTCTAAGTCAAAAAGGGGCATAATTCTGTCAAAAACCTTGACAGAGTTATGTCCTCTTGTCTGTTGATGAAGGTCGTGATGGTAAACAAGTATGGTCAGTTTCAAAGCAATACCTCCAATGGTTTTGAAATAAAGTGAGGTGGTACAAAAAACTTAACCAAGCTCAATACACTTTCTAAGTCAAAAAAGGGCCATAATTCTGTCAAAAACCTTGACAGAGTTATGTACTCTTGTCTGTAGATGGAGGTTATGATGGTGAACAAGTATGGTAAGTTTCAAAGCCATACTTGTAATACTTCTGAAATAAAGTGGGGTGGTACGAAAAACTTAACCAAGGTGTGACGCCAACGCTAACGCTAACGCCGACGCCGGGGCGAGTAGGATAGCTCCCCTTTTCATAGAAAAGTCGAGCTAAAAAGCACAAAATGACTAGGTAAATGAAAATAAATACTAGGGGTTTATCTGTGAAGCATGATAATATAAGATATATACACACAAATAGAAAAATAATTCTTTTATCACATAAATCATAAATCTCGTAATGATCAGGAAACAGTATAAAAAATAATCTTGTACATTTTTTTTGTGATCTTTGGATGTAATTTTTATAGACTTTGAAACAGCATCAATGATGCTGTGTCTAGGTCACAACTCACAAGTATTTGAGACATACTGCACACATATGCAGCCAAAACCAGACATAATACTGTTGGCAGCTTTCATTTTAATATAAAAATCCCTCGCATTGTGTACCAATTGATGGAGGTCTGAACCAATAATGTGTGTGCAAATTTTTAGATCATTCTCTCGCACTGCTTTTCAAGAATTATAATTTTTAATGTGCAAAATGACCCAATTTTTTTTTTTTTAAATGTTGCAACAATTTCACACAAATTGGGATAAGAATTGCACTTATTCTTGATTTTCAATTTATTTCAGTGTATTTCTTTATTATCTGTGGCAGATGTTTCCACTTTAAGTGCTTCACTTGTTCTGTGTTAAAAATTACTATTTTATGTTTTAACGCACTTTGACCTCAATTTCTTTAAATAGGCCCAAATAGTTAACACACATAAAAAGGATTCAATATCCCTTCACAACAATATATCCCTTAAATCTTAAACAATAAAGTATGAAAACTACTCATTCCATATATCTCTAAATATCATTCATTAACAATTCACTTGTATTTTAACCTTTTTCAACAATCCCATAATAAAAACAAGAACTGTCGGAGGACAGTAACGCTCGACTATTCGAAAATTTGTCACAAGGGTGTTTCATTGAGTATAATAATGCTTACCTATATGAATACATAAAATTGTCCGAAAAGGTACAAACTCTTCAAGTTTCAATACATTCCCTTCAGTAAGTATGGAGATACAAGCTTACATGCAAAAACTTAACCAAGAATTCATGAGTCGAAAAAGGGACATAATTATGCAAAGAAGCAAATCAGAGTTATGGGACTTGTACTTATCATCTTAGATAATCACAGAGAACAAGTGTGTGAAGTTTCAATCCATTCCCTTCAGTAGATATGGAGATACCAGCTTACATGCAAAAACTTAACCAAGAATTTCTAAGTCGAAAAAGGGGCATAATTATGAAAAAAACAAACCAGAGTTATGGGACTTGTGCCAATCATCTAAGATAATCACAGAGAACAGTTGTGTGAAGTTTCAATCCATTCCCTTCAGTAGTTATGGAGATACCAGCTTACATACAAAAACTTAACCAAGAATTTCTAAGTCGAAAAAGGGGCATAATTATGAAAAAAAGCAAATCAGAGTTATGGGACTTGTGCCAATCATCTTAGATAATCACAGAGAACAAGTGTGTGAAGTTTCAATCCATTCCCTTCAGTAGTTATGGAGATACCAGCTTACATACAAAAACTTAACCAAGAATTTCTAAGTCGAAAAAGGGGCATAATTATGAAAAAAAGCAAATCAGAGTTATGGGACTTGTGCCAATCATCTTAGATAATCACAGAGAACAAGTGTGTGAAGTTTCAATCCATTCCCTTCAGTAGTTATGGAGATACCAGCTTACATACAAAAACTTAACCAAGAATTTCTAAGTCGAAAAAGGGGCATAATTATGAAAAAAAGCAAATCAGAGTTATGGGACTTGTGCCAATCATCTTAGATAATCACAGAGAACAAGTGTGTGAAGTTTCAATCCATTCCCTTCAGTAGTTATGGAGATACCAGCTTACATACAAAAACTTAACCACAGGGACGCCGACGCCGACAAATGGGTGACTGCATTAGCTCGATTATTCTGCGAATAGTCGAGCTAATGAATAAATCCTTTAATAGATGGAACCCCGCCGTCCTGTGTTATGAGCTGATAATTTATCCGAGGACAATTTTTCCATGGACCCTGTCGGCGAGTTTTTAGCACTTAGAGATTTCTTCCTCTTCAAGACACTGTTGGGGATTGGTATCTGGGTGGGTGGAAGACTGTGCTTGTTGAGCACTGGGGAGTAAAGCTCATCCGTTGGGGTCGAGGAGCCACTACTTCCCGCCGATGGCATGCTAAATGCGGGCGATACTGGTAGAGGAATCATGGAGATCTTCCGACTCCTTTTCTTACATAGATTCTTCCATGATACAAATACCTTAAATATAATGAAACAGGATGATTATACCATAAATAAAACAAAAATATGATTTAAAATGAAACATGATCCCTTTATTATAACATGATAAAAATATCTTTAATTAAAGAAAGATGATGGAGAATTTTTTTAATGATTTGTAACCAGATATATATTTAACAAATGGGATAATTTTCTTAACATTGCACCATCACTATATTTAGAATAGCTATACATGTATTTAGCTCTACAATATTTACCATAGTCAGCTGTTGTTTCTTCTCAAAGGCCTCTACTTTCTTGATAGTTTTTCTTCTAACAAACTCCAGGTGCCATACTCTCCATGCTGACATACACAAATTCTCATTACGCTGAAAAAATAAACCAGTATACAATCATCTAAAATTACACAAAATCACTCGTCTTGTGTAACAAATACTGTAACAAAATGTATAATTAATAAAAAATGTTCCTTTTACTACACTTGTTTGACAATTACATGTACACTGGTGAGGACTAATGAGGGTTTCTTAATTCCAGAAGTTTTTCAAATCCAAACCATTTGACTTGTCTCATAAAAGTTTATACTATTATTAAACAGTATGGTAATACATGTATGTAAATTCGTATTATCCCTAAATAAATTGATACAATATAAAAGATTATAGAAACAAGTTGTTTTCCTTCAACATACCACACATTTTGCTGTATAGACCATGTCTGTCTTGTGTTTCCACATGAGACCATATTTACGACACAATCGTGCTTTCCTTTTCTCTGCCTGTCTTGTGGCAAGCACTTCATTAAACCAACTTTTATACACTTTATTGCTGTAAATAAAAACATGGTAATCTAAACACATGTAAACATGAAAATAATGAATTTGCTGTGCTTTAAATTTAGGACCATCCATTTAAAATTTCAGGAATACATGTATAGCTTGAAATAATTGTCCACAGGACATAAACTGCCCAACATTCCACTGTTTTTGTCGGTCTACAGACCACACGAGAGCAGAATGAGCACAGGGTTTTCATTTTTATCTGAGGCAACAGATGTGCCAACCAAAACAACCTAAGTGGCTTATGGTCAAAGGGGATATTTCAATCTACAGACTGCAAATACAACCTATTTTAACAGCATTTCAACTGATGATATGGATCGCCAAACTGTTTATAATGAAAACCCTTTGAACAACAGCAAATCTATATGTCCACCAAAAAGTGTTGGCATACAAATAAAGCAACCAACATTCTAGACACCTGTCAGACTGGCTCTATACTGGTGGCAGACTATAATTGCTTTTCATTACAGCAAGGTAAAGACTAAGATTTTACCACAAATGTTTGTTGTAGAACTTGACAGCTTTCTCCGTCTGCTCCTTCATATGCTGTCGTTCCTGCCGCCTCCTCAACACAAAATGGCGCCACCTATTGGCAGTACGTTTGGCAAGAATATGTTCATGGCACTCATCTGCTATCACAATCTATAAACACAGAATTACCCATTTACACTTGTCAATTCATTATTGATGTAAAGTTGGACAAAAAAAATAAATATTGGTACCGTTGATTTGGTGATCCACTGATGTTGTTTTCAAATTCACAAAGCTTGTAACATTGAACTTCACCAAAGGGTAAAGGTCATTGACACAACAAACATATGAAATATCAGTCAATGTATGAGGACGCTTTGACACATATTCAGAGTGACAGGAAGCAAGACTTGTAATCAACTACATGTACATGTATGTGCTTTACAAAACCTTTGGAAATATAAAAACTTGTTTCAAAGATATTTGTATAATATTATGTAATTATAATGAAAAAAGATCATTATAAGAATTACACAATTATGCTTGAAATGCATGAAAATGTATACCATGTACTTATAAATACAGAAATAGTTTTTATAACATCAGGCTCTCTATTTTTGATAATATGTTATGCTGTTTTTTCATGGAAACTAGTTATCTTTATTTCATGTATAAACCTACCTTTAACCTGAAAGCCCAATGTTGTAAAGCCTGGTTCATTAAAGTTGTATTTTTCTCATGTATAACTCGATTAGCCATGCTTGATAGTTCTACACAGTAATCGAACCTTGTTTTTACCAGATACCAGTGGTTCTGCAGAATGCCTTGATTACGTTTACGAGTGAAGGCCGACTCTAATCTACGCAAGTTGTTCTTCTTGCGCGTGTAAACCAACCAGGACTTGAAAACACTGCAACGGAAAGAAATGTTTAGAAATACATTCATGCACAATAAAACATGTGCTCATAACCAGAAAGAATGCTACACTAATATGATTAGAAAAAAATTATTTGCAACTACTTTTAATATTGCTGTGGTTTTGCATTTATGTCTGCACTTAATATATTTAGCTCTGACACAAGGATAGTCTTTTCAAACTTATGTAATTAAAGGTAGGTAAAATTATTTCAACACTGAATTTCACTTCATTTAGTATTCACAGTTCATTCAAACAAACATAAAAGATCATGTGAAGTAGTCATAAGAGTGCTTTCCCTTGATTAAAAAAAATATCTATACTTATATATCCACTCCCTGCTCCACCCCACCCAACACATTCTCATTCATCAATAGTACCCACCAAAAGTTTAAGCTATATAATTCAAAATAACCAACAATATCTTTATAAACAAGCATCAAAGTCTTATCAGGTTACCATGACAACTTACGTTAATTGCATTTTAAGATTAGCATGCCCTCGTATAGATTTCCTGGCTTTGGCGACATTGTACCAGTATAGGAAGAACACTTTCTGTGTCTGTTTCTCTTTCTTCACTGTATACTTCTGTAGTGCATTTCTCCTTTCACAACAGCCTAAAACGAAAATTTCCCAAATTAACCTTTCTATTGGTCTTTCTTCATTTAAGTAAGAGGTCTGCATACGTATTATGATTCAAATTACATGAGAAACATGATTTCATCAGTGGGATATAACCTATTTCTCTCACTGTGATTCATCTATCCTTTTTTAACAATTTAACTTAAAAAGCGAGCAACTATTTTGCTGTGTGACTACAGAATATATCCTTATCAAAACATTCACGCTGCGCTACCGTTACATGCATGTTAATTTTTTTATGAAATATATTATATATTTTTACTCTTAAAACAGGTTTTCAACTAAATATATATTTCATATCACAACAGAACAAAACTTTAAATAACAAACCTCTTGCTGCCAATTTCCAGTTACTCAAGAACGTTATCATTAATTTCATACTGAACACCCTGTGGGCTTGTATACACATTAACTCTGTCCGCCACGTCTCCAAACATACTGCTGTCAGTTGTAGATTCTTCTGGTTCCTGTACTTCTCCAGTATGTCATAACGGTCTAAATTCTTTCTGTATGCAGACTTCCATTTAGCAAACATTCTTCCCATCTGAATAAAGAGAACATAAATATTACTGTGCAGTACAACTTCTGCACAGTAACACCCTAACCTAGGAGACAAGGATTTGGTTGTTGTTGAGAGGTGTTTGCTCAGAAGCTATTATCTCCTTTCCACAGGTTTTGTAATAAGTGTTTTTAGAACATTTTTGTCACATGACATGGTGTTTTACACTGAGATTTATTAATTGAAGAAATACAAATATGTTAAATTGTACCTTGCACAACTAACATTCCAAAAACATGTGAATAACTTTAATACTTTGTGATATATGTAACAAAACCATAGTTTTACATTGTTGTGTGTGCGAGTAGGGTAAACCCAAATTTTACTTACAACTAAAGTAAGGTCTGTCCGTCTTACATGAAGAGTTAAAATAGTATTTACTCATCATCTTAAGAACTTCACCAATATTTACCTTGTTATTTTGAAACTGTGCATGTAGTTTATGACCTCGTGTTTTCTGGGCCTTCTTTCTCCAGTGTGTACCTAGACGTAGAACCCTACGTTGTAACACCTGTTCATGATGCTCATGTACTTGAAGTTGTTGCTGATAGCATGCGTACCACTGGCGTAACGCCCTTTTGGCCTGAAGATAAGTCAAGTTTTATGTTAACTCAGCCCTTTAATTGCTAAATATGACAATAACAGACATACAACATAAGTACAACATCAGGCTAGCTTGCGAATTTGAGCAGTCAGGCAGGATTCTATACTGTTCCATTTGCCAGAACAGAATTTGACTTGCATGAAAAGGTCTTTTTTACCCTTCAAAAGTTGTGTTAAAGTCAGACCTATGATAAAAGGCTAGCAGTGCAGTCTGACCAGACTCTATACAAATGGTTGCTCATGTTTATCAATTTAAACACTGTACATGCTGGGGAAAAATCTATACAGATGGTTATTTAATCCTTTGCATGCTGGGAAAAATTGTCATCTGCTAAAAAAGTGGTCTGTATACTTTTTTGAATTTTATCAAATTTTCTATGATACCAAACTGTTTGCAAAGGCTCAACAACAGGTCTGTGCTCGGGTGGGTACAAAAGATTACAAGAGGCACTGGGAATTGTAAAGCTTAATTTACTTTGTCATTTTGTGAGAAAAATACTTACAAGAGCCTTATAGGACATAAGTTGGCACTGTAATTGTCTTTGTTTGAGATCCTTCTGCCAGGATGCTACTTCCTGCCAGGCAGACAGTACCCTAAAACGATACAACATTTTATACTTAACTAGAAACTAATCCATAAAACAGAAACACTTTGCAATCTAACTAACCATAAATGATGAATTCATAGTTCTCACTTAACGTCAATTCATAGTCTTAATTCACATTTAACCTCATTCATAGTCTTAATTCTCATTTAAAATATCAGCCCTTTGCAGATTTCTGAAAAATTTACTCAACCTAACAAAAACAAAAATTATAGAAATCCTTGAAATATAAATCATCAAACCACATTATTACCTTGTTGAAAGCCTGGTCTGATACCATTGTGTCACTCGTACATGTTTCTCTGATTCTGTCTTCCACTGTACAAACATTCTACATACAAGATGCTTATTTCTTATCCCTGACACATATGCTGCTATCACTTTCCTTCTTCTTTGATCTGGAAAAAAGCGTTTAATTTTGAAAATCATTGACTTTCTTGAAATATATAAACAGATGTTTTTCTGTAGTATTTGATCATAAAAGGCCGTCCCCACCCTACTATATATTTGAAATTTGAGTCTCAAAAATGTGTCTTAATAATCTGAGACGGTTTGTATCTTGTTTCCAAGCATCTACAATATTACTACTCAGGATAACTATTGTTTATTATCTGTATGTAAGTATCAAAGATGTCTAGAACCATACATCACCATTGAGAGGATCTGACATGCCAAAGGACAATATTTTAGAATGATTCAAAATTTAGTCCTGTGGGCATGAATTTCTCCATTTAAACCTTAACCCTTTTTACAAAAGACTTGCCATTTATTTAATTTGGAATTGTCCATAAGTAATTCAGTTTAGATTATAAGCCCTATGTTCTAAAGCAATTGCCCCCAATGAGTGACCTTTGATCCAGTGACCTCTAAGTGTGTCTTGGGGAGTGGCAGAGCTCAAGCTTAATGCTCCTTTGAAGTTGAAGACTGTCTGTGGCAGGACTTCAATGTTATGGTCAAAGTTAAATTTTTATGACAAAACAGACAAGCAAACAGACAGACCAAAAACTATATGCCCTCCTCTTCTATCAATCTTGGGGTATAAATGTCAAAATCTATCAGTCAACAGTGTTATACACCGTTTAGGCAAACAACACTGATGTACAGGCTTATCTACATCTTTGCTTAAGGGAAAGGTTATCCACAATTGCTTCACATACCTACATTCAAACATGATATTTAATACAAATGTAGGTTGTTTGGTACATAACAAAGACAAATTTTTTCATCATTAAATATTACTTAATGACGATGTTGGATATGTTTTCACACAGAGGTTTAAGACTTTGTCAACAGACTGCATTACTTATATCATCTACAAAACATACCATGTGCCCACTGTTGCCAAGATTGTAATATTGTAACCAGGTAATTATGCCATGTGTCTTCATATCTCCTTTCTACTTCCTTCTTCTGTGTGTGTCGTAAACACCACGTTTTGAAAACCTGTTTTAAATATAAGACAATCATTTTGATATCATGGTTTATAACCATACACTTTAATAATAATTAAAATAACAGGGAACATTTTTCTTTGATTTTTGCTCCTTAAATCTGACAGGTAAAAGGTTTAATAGTTGAAGGCTATGTAGTATGATGTCATGACAACCTTTACCTTCAGAACTGAAAGAGATTAGCCTATGCCACTAGAATAGAGAATTAGCAATCAGCACATTCATGCATCCGACCCCACTCTATACTGCTGGCAGCTCTTTTTTTCTATCACAGTATACTTGAATCTTTTAAACATTAACCCTTTCCCCCATGAGCATATTGTGAAAAATGGCCATTTTCACTGAAAAGCCTCCTCTTACAAGTTCAAACTGCTATGAAACTATGAAAAATGCTTCAATACTAATCAAACTTGGCACGAATATTGACTGGACCATTGCCTTTGTAACGACATGCTTAGTGTTAAATTTCATGTTACCATGGCAACGAGGGGACATCTCAAAATTGCCAAAAATCACTTTTTTGCCTCGATTTTTTCCATCAAAATTTACTTCAAAGTGCTGCAACTTCTCAAGGGATTGAGATAGAGTCAAAGGCTTTTCAGCGTTGGTTACACGTTACCTTATGATCAACCTGGGGTCATTTTAAGCCTCTCACAAGTCCAAAATTTTCTTGGCGATGAGGGGGACTCCGCCCCCCTTCAAACCCCCCAAACAGAAGGGGGCACATCCCCCTTCTGGCAACCCCCTGATGTATTATTGGGATGGGGGACGGCGCCGAAAAAATGGTCACTTTTTTTAACAACATTTCTCAAACGAAAAACAGTGTTTGGGGTCTAAATAGGACATTTTTTCACTGTTTGAGGCCTCAAAAAGGGGGGGGGGAGGCAAAAAGCCGTCGAAACACGCTTATATAAGGGAAAAGGTTAACAAAAAATGATGAAAAACCTTGGAATCACCCAAAATCTAGTTTTTCCACGTTAACATGTGGTCTTTTACCTAATTTTGGTGAAAAATTGTTGTTTTGTAACATTTATAATTTTTTTAGTTAACCCTTTCCCCCATGAGCATATTGTGAAAAATGGCCATTTTCACTGAAAAGCCTCCTCTTACAAGTTCAAACTGCTATGAAACTATGAAAAATGCTTCAATACTAATCAAACTTGGCACGAATATTGACTGGACCATTGCCTTTGTAACGACATGCTTAGTGTTAAATTTCATGTTACCATGGCAACGAGGGGACATCTCAAAATTGCCAAAAATCACTTTTTTGCCTCGATTTTTTCCATCAAAATTTACTTCAAAGTGCTGCAACTTCTCAAGGGATTGAGATAGAGTCAAAGGCTTTTCAGCGTTGGTTACACGTTACCTTATGATCAACCTGGGGTCATTTTAAGCCTCTCACAAGTCCAAAATTTTCTTGGCGATGAGGGGGACTCCGCCCCCCTTCAAACCCCCCAAACATTCACTGTTTGAGGCCTCAAAAAGGGGGGGGGGCAAAAAGCCGTCGAAACACGCTTATATAAGGGAAAAGGTTAAATGGACTGTGGTAAAAGTCTATTACACACAAATTCAGCAAATGAAGGGTTATATCCTCACTTGAACACTTTCACTTTGTTATTTATTGGTTGAATGCTTATCTGTTTAGTGCTTATATAGGTACAAATCAAATAAAAAAGTTTCAATACACATGTAGATGTATCAAAAAAGTATGTTAATGCCCCAGAGAGGGTTACTTACAGTACAGGGTCACTTCACCATTTCATTCCTGAATTACCCATTTATGGTTTAAGTACAGGAGATAAAATTTCAGTATGAAAAAAACTAAATCTATAAAAAGTTAAAAATTATCATTATTTCAAGATAAATTATCTTACCAATTTTTTCCTCCTATTGTCCCTGAACTGTTCACATTTCACTTTTCTATTGTGTAGTTCTAAAGCCCAGTTGCACCAAGATCCAAAATACCTTAAAAAGAATAAAAAAACAATGCAATTTTTTAATAATCACAATCACATCTTTACAACATTAGAAATGTTCAAATGAAGACAAGGTAAAAAACAATATACAACAAACACTCACAGATATTGAAATTATCTCTTGCCAAAAAAAAACCCCAAACAATATTACCTTATAAATGAGCAGTCAAGTTCAAATTTCAATCAGTCAAACAGAATCTATTGGTATATTGCTACATGTATAAATAATAATCACCTTTGATACAGAATTTTGTGGTACACTTTCTTCAACTTGCTGATCTTTCGATATTTATTCTGCCATACAGTAAAACACTCTTTCAGAGATTTCTTATTAAGTTTGTAGCAGAAGGAACGCTCTCGTGGTATCAACTGTCGCTCCTCATCCGTGATGTTCGTCCATAAGAACACAATTTTCTCAGCATGCTGTTTCTCCTGAGCCTACAAGTTAAAAACTTATGTTTTCACATGTAAAGGATTAACAAATTAAGTAGTAAGATATGATTTATATCACTAATTGATGCAGAGATGAAAAATTCCATTTGTCTGCTTGAAATTACCAGTAGAATTTAAGAAAACTTGATACAAGATGAGTAGAATAATGTAGCCTGCACATTGGATTTAGAAGCTCCTTGTCCTACAGGATGAGTGACTCAGTAAATATTTGTTTTGATGGCTGTAATGTCACAGTCTATAAGTAATTTTGGCAAAAGTCTTCTGTTCTTCAATATTTATTTTCTTGACAGAGAAAAAAGTGTATAAGTTTATTTTTATGCTTGATCTTTAAGCCTATGAAAATGAACTCTTATTTCTACCTCTTTCTTATATAGCCAATTACACTTCTGTGATAAAAAAGTTTGTTAATAAAATACGGTGATTTTTCTGTGTTCTTCACATCTGACCTTTGTACATTAATCATAAAGACAAACCATTGGCATACACTTAATTTTGTGAAGCTTCTCATTCTGTAATTTCTTTTGTTTTATTAAAGGGAGACAACTATAGGTTTTTTTGCATGACCAAACTGGAACTATTTATACAAGATTTATGTACCACTTGATGTAATTCTGGACCAATAACTTGAGTGCAAAATTTCAGATCAATCACTTAGTCTTTTTATTTCAGAATAAAAATTTTGGTTTTGATAATGACCCAAAAACAAAAAGCCTTTGAATGCTTTTCACTCAAATCTGGTTAAGAATCACAAAATTAGATACTTTTTTCATTGTAATTATATACACATGTATTTCTATTTATTATATACTTATAAATGAAATATTGAGAAATATTGATGAAATAAAATGCGTATTTTCATTTTCCGTATTTTCACTGTAAAAATTTATTTTTCACTGCAGTGAAACATATTTTCCGTATTTTCACTGGTGTCTTGCCGGACTACTTTCTTTTAAATTCTACCAGTACACAAAATTTAAGGGAAAGTTTTTCAAATTTTATCACAAAAAAGAGAAAAATGTACATAATAAACAGAAAATTCAAGTTTTTTCTATAAATACATGATTTATTTTCATCTTGTGGCATGAAAATTACCATATTTCACTCGTGGCTACCGCCACTCATGAAATATTTATTTTCATACCACTCGATGAAAATAAATCATGTATTTATAGAAAAAACTTGAATATCCTCTTTATCTTTTGTATTTTATTTCATTTTTACCCACTTGAACTATGTATGACATTCAAATTTTATATTTTAAGCTTTTGGACCAAAGATGAGCTTCTTTAAACTACAACTATATTACAAAGACATACCTATTGAACTGATAAATAAACATTTATCTTACCTTAGCCAACCATATTGGGAAAATTGATGAGTACACTTTTCTAGCATAGTGTAACCTAGCAACAGTGTTCATCTGTTTCTTTTCTCTACACATATTTCTGTATAGTATCAGGCTGAGTAGAGCCTTATGCTGTAAAACTTCCTCCTGCAAAAAAAAAATTTAATTTAACCAAAATTTCAGAATTTTTTTTTATAAAAGCATTTCAAACCCTTCCTATTTCCAAGAATAAAATATATGGAGCTAACAATTATTGACTTTTTTCAGGTATAAATTTTCCCTAAATATTAAGATAGGAAGAACTATTGATAGCACTGATCAAAAATTGCATTTAACAATAATAAGAATTCTGAAGTGGAAGTCATCTTCTGCAGCATCTGTGTTACACAGTATACAACTGTACAATAATTTTAAAGAATTTCTATCTGTATGATGTAATGAAACTCGTATAAACTGAATTTGCATATGAAATCAATGAGTTAGACAATGATTGAACATCTCTCCACGTGGCATCAGATATAGCAAATCAAGGGCTATCAGATATTTTTTCAGTAGAGATTTATATTTTAAAATCACTTAAATACTCTTTTAGTTCATAGGTAAGATTTTGCTAAATCTGGTTTGTTTGTTTTTGTTGGATTTTAAGTCATACTGTTAAGGCAAGCCCAGGCACCTAACTAGAACCGCTGATAAGTTTTCTCACAAAGAATCCCAAGGTCCCTGATGGGATTCAAGCCAACTGCCATGAGCAGAAATTGACTTAATTCAATCCAAAATCATATAATGAAAGTTCACTTAATACTGTTGCCATTCCTTAAAAACTTACATAGTGGTGTTTTGCCAGCTTCATCTCTTTGTGGTGCTGAACCCAGGAGTTGAAATACTGTTTCAATGCAAGCTCCTGATGTACACTGATCATCTTTGTTGTTAGAAGCTTGAATTCGGACTGCCTGGCAGTGTACTCCTTCCATTGTTCAAACACAATACTGATTGGCCAATGACGTAGTCTGTTAACTACAGTCACAACAATCTCCTGCATTAAATAAACAAAGTTTAAAAGTATGATAACCAAAACCTAAAAGTACCCCACTGAAGTCGAAAAGCCTAAAAACTTAAAAACTGAATTTTGTACGAAGATCAGCTATGGCACTTAAAACAATATGTAATAAAAAAGATATTTATAATAATATAATCAGAAATAAGTTGAAAATTGTATTTATGTGCTATTCTTAGCCCACTTTGGGTCATTTTTCACAATTAGAAAAGTAATTCTGGAAGAACGAAGTGAGTGAATGGTCTGAAATTTTGCACACAAGTTATTGCTATAGAACTACATTAAATGGACAATTAATCTCAAAACATTATTGCCAGTCATGTAATGTCAAAAAACCTCAGTGGAGTCCCTTTAATGTTAAAATCCACTCCAGAATATGTGGATGTAAAAATATAAAAATAAGTTCAACTGATCTTCAATTCTTCATAAATATATCATCAGTCTTGCCCCTGACAAGGTTTGAACCACTATGTTCTGCAATCCTTAGATTTCTATTCTGATGCATTAACCGCTAGGCTGCATAGCCACTCAAAAATATATCACCAGTTATAGCTTAAACAAAGAGAAAAATCTGAGTTTCCAGCTGATAACTGTTAAATTGTACCTATATTTGTCAAACTTGAAACAATTCATATTTCATCCTTTATTACAGCATACCATTATTTTGTAAAAGGGGAGATCACTTCTATAAAACATGTTTCATAGTGACCAGAGTTTTTCTTTAGAATTAATATAACAGACATATACCCTTCTACTCTCTATTTTCACAGCATGCTCCATCTCAAATCTGGCATCAATGAAACTTGAACTTGTCAAAGCACCGGAATCAAACTCTAGGGACTGAGCCAGACTCATGTGACTTGGTGTCGGTGAATGAAGTCTGAAATTACAAAATCATTTTATTAACAGATACAGGACACAAAGTGGACTAAAGGGAAGAGGTGTAGTGGTTAAGGTGTAAACATACATCAACCCAGTCTGTGGGTTTGAGCCCTTCTTAAATCACAAAAGTTCTAATAACCAGACTGGTTAAAATAATCTTCACCAAAATCACACTAAATCAAGAGCACTGCATGTTGAATTATTGCCTGACTCTTAAAACAATATACATGTATAACCACTTTTGACAAAATTATCAACTGCACCTTGTCAAGACAAGCAAGTATTCCACGTTATTTGAAATGTTTCAATAATGGGCTGTATTAAAGTTTCTGCACTATGACAACAACAACAACAACAACAATGCAGGGATCATGATAGCTTGACTTTTTCTCCAAAACAGACAAGGAAAAACCATGTAAATGTTAAATTTTCCAATTTGATACTTTATCTAAAATTGCTTTATAAACACTACCTTCTCATTGGTGTTCCAAAACCAGGTGTTCTGGGAGTTCTTGGTGTATGGGGTGTTCTGGGTGTCATGGATCTTGGTGTTCTAGGTGTCATGGATTTTGGTGTTCTGGGTGTTCTTGGAGTACCAGTAACGGAATTATGGAATGTTTCAAGGTCAAAATTAAGCATCTCAATAGAATCTCCCCTTCCAAGAAGATCTCCTGAAATTATAACAGTAAGACATTTTTAGAATTTTTTTTTCTATCACAGAAATATCCAATTTCAAGTTTAAAAGAAAAATCTTTTGGATAAAACTTAACTGTTTATGCAAATACGATTTAATATATACAATGTATAAACATTCAAGACCAATATTGGCAGCCAATACATTTTTTGTAGAAAATTGTAAAAATATCAAAACAGCACTGGTATAAATCTTAAAAATCATCTGTGATTTGTAATATCATAAGTATCAAATTTGCATAAACAGATAATGAGAATTCTTTTAGCATGTAAATAGTTACTTTATGGCATGAAACTTCCATCATTTTTAATATCAATATCCACCTTTTTAGACCTTATGGCAAGAATGTTATAGCTATTCATTGCCATTTCTGTTTCTATCACTCTGTGAAACATAGACTGTTCATGGGATTATATGCTCCATTTTTTATGCTCCATTTTTCAATCATTTTTGATGGGAAGAAATTCAGATGGTCATGCCACTAGTCTCATTGAAATCGGAGCTAAAAGCAATCTGTTATTCTGGAACTTTAACACTCACATAAAAGAGAGAAAACTACAGCAATAATAATACCATTTCTGCTCCTACCTGTTTTATCATAACTTATATTATCAAGCTCCTGTTGATCCTGATCAAAGCAAGCCACTTCATCATCCTGACGTAAACCAATGGCAGTAGCAAATTTCTCCACAGCTTCCTGTAGAGAATTCTGGGTAAATGTATACCATGATTGGAGGGCCTGCTTGGCAAGTTTACGTATCTGTATCTTTTCATTCTCCCTGTATAATATATATCAGAAGAAATTAAAGATATAGAAAAATCAGATAGACAAACAAAAGCAATCCATTTGGTCTGTTTATTGACAACTAAAACAGACAAAAATTACAAATGAAGAAAGGGGCAGAACTCCAAAAATATATCTTTAACAATAATGGCCCTTGTACATTGTATAACAACTGCACTTTGTCATGATAAGAAAGTATTTCAAGTTTCATTTTAATAACTAGTAAAATGATTAAACAATGACCTACATTAAAGTTATTGCCAACAACAATGCAGCCAACATAACAGCCCGCCTTTTTCTTCGATACAGATAACATTAAAACATGACATACAAATATAACTCTACCTAGCAATAAGAGTGGCTCGGAAATATCTTCTCCAAAAATAGAATGCGACCTTGACCCTGTTTGTTTCTATCTTCTCCTGCAGATATGCTACATTTTCCTCCTCAGTACTTTGCTGGGAATATAACCTCTCTTTCCACAAGCTGAAATACTTCTGTAGTAACCCCATAACCGTCTCCTGTAACACATGAAAACCATCAACATCAGTACAATAGGCATGTCAATTATGTTATATTGCATTCAAAAAGTTTTTTTGTTTTTTGAAATATCGTTAAAAAAGCTGAGATTCAAAAGCCTAAAAACATAGAATTCTTACAAAGATCAGCTTGGGGCACTTAAAACAGAAAGATATGCAGAAGATAATTTACAAATAAAATCAGAAATACATTGAAAATAATATTTTTGTGCTATTCTCAGTCCAATTTGAGTGAAAAGCCTTAAAGCAAGCTTGAAATTGATAAGACAAAAATTACGATTTTTAATCTATTTGAGTAAATTATCTTTTTTCATGTCATTTTTGTTTCAAGTTCCCCAGCTGTTCTATGTAAGAAATTAAAATTTTATGATTTTAAGCTTTTCGACATAAATGGAGTCCCTTTAACAATGAAAGCATGTTTTTTTCTTGTAATTCAATGTTTAATTTCAAAATGTATCCTTTTCTTTAAAGGTTCCTTTCAAGCATTCTTGCATAGAAACTTAGATGAAAAACTTAAAACATGTCTGGCATGATTTTGAGCATGACACTTGGAAGCAATATACAAACAATATTTTAGTATGGGCCCAACCCATTTTGGCATGATTTAAGCGTGACAATTGGAAGTGACAAACAAAAAATATTTTATTATCAGCGTAAACATGAATCTCACCATTTCCATTTGTTGTAATCTCTTCTCCCGGAGTTTTCTCAGTGCCAGTGTACTCCAGTGAATGAACGTATATTTCACCAGATGTTTCTCATGGAACTGTTGTGCCCTGTGTTTACGCTGTATGACAAATCGCCAACCCTGCAAGCACCTGTGAGTAGATCGCTGTAATCGTTTCTTGTTTAAATCTTTCTCTATCTGATGAACCTCATACTGTCTCCTGAAAAAAGGTTTAAATAAACAAGTATGTAGAACAATGTATTTAAGTTTTCTCTTTTCCATAGACACAAAATATACCTTTTAGAAAATGAACATAAAGAAAAACAATTTCTTTAAAGAGACTTTAATTATTACTTTGACATTTTCTTCAGAAAAATGTGTTAAAGGTTGCTTTATTCCATATACACAAAATATTCCTTTTAGAAAATGAAAGTTAACAATCAGTTTTTTTTAAGAGACTTTTATAATTACATGCATTAATACTTTAAACATTTTCTTTAAATCTGTCAAATTATTTTCCCCAAAATAGCCTGGCAAGTAAATGTAATTAACATTTACTCAATCATTAGTCTAAGTTCTTAGCTATGTGTTCTGTTTCACAAAGTGGCAGCCGTGTTAGTTAAACTTGCACATCAACAGGTTTGCAACAATGTTTCAAGAAAATGAAACTCCAGAAAAATGTACTGAGATTTAAAGAAAAGTGAAAAGATTCAAGATTTAAGTAATAATTTACGTGTTATGTGCAATAGATAACTGACTTTGCAGTATTTATCACAATATTTCTACTATGTGATTAACGCAGTAAGGGCTATTTTTGCATATTTCTGACCTCTTATTTTTGTACTTTACATGGATTGCAAGTGCTGTTTGCAATGTGTGAATAACTTTCTTTGGTCACTTCACAATATTTCCATTTTAAATACATATTTTTTAAATTTTTATGAAAAAAAGCATTAATCTGGAGGCATGCTGCTTTAAGCTGTCAACCTGTCGATGAGGAGTTTGACAGTTCTGCACTAATTTTCAAAGCTTTCGATGATTTCTATGACATGTTACCATGGCAATTCTTGATATACTAACTTACCTCCAAGCTTTGAATTTATTCTGTAGCCGGACCCTCAGCAGGGATTTCTCACTCTTCAGACATCTTGCCTTATGTACAACATACTGTCTCCAACCTTGAAAGCACCTGAATGAAAAATAAAACATGTAAAACAAGCAATTATCATAGTATTGCAAGCAATCCATAAGTCCCCTACCGGTTAGAATCCCAGCAACATTCTGATTTCAATTTTACAAGTGAATGAATGACATGAATGAACTTAAATCTTTTGAGTTCTAAGTTTGTCTATTTCACAGTAATGTGTTAAGTTTCCCTGCCTAGTAAGGAAATTATGTTTATACAACCTTGTCATATTATTACGATGTAGGATTTTAAAGTAAATCCTATAAGGAATGAAGAAGTTGGAGTAAAAAATACCAATTTCTCGAAAAAAATCTAAGTTTAAGGGGGACATAATTCTGGAAATAGTCTTGCTAGAGTATTTAACCTTCTAAAAAATGTTGAGTGATAATAAGAAACATATATATGAAGTTTCAAGTAGATACATTAGGAAATAAAGAAGTTATTTAAAAAAGACAACATTTTTTTTCATAAAAATTCTAAGTTCAAGGGAGGTAATACTGATAATTTTTGTGCTAGAGTTGTAAACCTTGTCACATATGATGTGGTTGATGACCAGAAACTTATATTTAAAGTTTGAAGTAAACACCTTAAGAAATAAAGAACTTATAGTGAAAAAGCTGAAAAATTTAAATCAGATATCTTGAAATTCAGGCTATTTGTTGCCATAGCAACCAGAATTTTCAACATAGGAAGAAAAGAAAAAGATGTGCATAATCTGCAGATTGCCATCTACCCATATTTTAAGTTTCATAAAAATATTTTCAGTACTTTTTGAGTTATCACTGGATCCAGTTTATGTGTTAAATTTGCCATATTTTCAGACTATTTGTTGCCATAGCAACCAGAATTTTCAACATAGGAAGAAAAGAAAATGACGTGCATAATCTCCATACTGCCATCTATCCATATATCAAGTTTCATAAAAATATTTTCAGTACTTTTTGCGTTATCGCGGGATCCAGTTTTGTGGACGGACGGACTGACAGACGGAAGGACAGACGGACAGACAGACAGACGGACGGAGGGTAAACCTAAAGTCCCCTCCGGTTAAACCGGTAGGGGACTAATAAAACAAAATGTCCTATATCTTAGTGCATAACATTACATATCTTATAATAAATAATAATATATTTTGGCAACTATGAGCAATTGATGCCTGTACTAATAAATCTCATTTCTACAGCTCATGTACGCTCTTTCACAAATAAATCAAGCATATCTACAATATTTTAGCATCTATAAATTCAGTGCAATTATTTTTTAAACCTACTGTTTTTATAACTTTTGAATTAGAATATCTGGATATTTGCCAAGAAAACTTGTCAGACCATCTTAGAACTTGTTCTAGAAGAATGGAGAAGATAAAACTGTACATACTGAGTAATAAGCCTTTGTCTATATCGAAGCACCATAGGTTTAATCAACAGACGTTGCCGGGTGTCTGTTTGCCATTTTTCAAAGTACAGCTTAAGCTTTGAGGTGTCCAAGATGGCCCGAACATCAGAGGCTTCTTGCTTCTCTTCCAGTATCAACTCAAACCGTGATTTCCAATGCAAAAAATACACTGAAATGACAAGTGATGGTATATTACTTGGAAAGTAATTTTACATCTATAAATGAAAGAGATTTAAAGGTTAATTATACATGTACTTGTTGCAAAAGATATATTTGAACAAAAGCTCAATAGTTTTTATGGAAACCATCCTGTTTGGATTTATTCATGTGAGGAAGGGTTGATAGTTCTTCTCTGCATGGTGCCCACTTGTGAAATAATTTTCAAATGGGCGACTATTGCTAAAAATGGGGAACCAATGTTGGAGGTTTGAGGTGGTGGTTTGGGCAACAGTCATGGGCTTTTAGGGGCAAATGTCCTAAAATCCAAAAAGTCAACTGAGATCTTCCTCTACAAGTAAAGCTGGAGTCACCTTATGACCTTTATAATGTTGTTGTGATTTAAAATCCAACAAAACATATTAAGGAACTTTTATTGAGATCAATTAAGTGAAACTCAAAAGATATTTGTTTTATAAGGTGATATCATGTAACCAATTTTGCAAATGAGCACATTTGTGTAGGCATTCTTTGATATAATCTTTGGTAAGTGAATATAGAGATGGCTGTATCTAATGTTTACCTCTTTGTGTATTGAGTTGCCTTATAGGTTCTGTATCTATCAAAAGTCTGGCTAACCTCCGTCTGTGACAGACCAGTCTCCATGATTCTGCTGCCCTCCTGTTTATATATGATAGAAAAAATTACAATTATATCTGTTATATGTATTACCTGTACAGAATTTATATAGCAATACTTTAGCAATTTATCCAAGGATAGGTGGATAGGAATTAAAATGTTGGCCAATGAATGTAAAGTTAACTACTGCTCTTTTCTCTGTAATATATATACATTACCTGAAAATTATAACCCGATAGATAAGAAATGGAATTATCCATACTGATTAACTAGCAGGGGTCTAAATCTGGTATGGTATTGCTGATGTAATAATATCAATAGGGCTAAGGCTATATGCCAATATGTAGTTAAAATATAAGATTATAAACAATTAAAGTATAATTTAAGAGAATCTTAATCCATGACTTGTATTTGGTTCTCACTGATATTACTAGAACATGACAATCTGTACTTCTGCCCCGAAATACAGCTCTTACTGGCCACCTGAGATATAGAATATTAACAAAAACAAAAAAATTCAAATACAGGCTTCAAATCATTGTCCCTGGGCAGGCTGTTAAGCAGTGTACCAGTACAAGCTGCATTCACTTTCACAAGGAACTGATAACCTCTGTACATACCAGAGCAGAGGTACAGTGCGAATGACCATAAAAAGCATTTCATGATCAATGACAACAAAAGTGAACTGTCTGTCCAGGAATCAAACCCAGGTTGCCCAACTAACAGTCAATCGCTCTACCTATTGAGCTATCCAAACAGTTTGATCAAGACACTCTTATAATAACCCTACTTGTAGTAGTACATACCTGGCACAAGAGTTTGACCAGAGCTGTTGAGCCTTCTTCTCATCACATTTGACCTTGAACTGTGACCTCCATATGGACAGATAACGTCTTTGAGTATCCAAGTTATGTTTGCGTAAATGCAACAAAGCACGTTTCCTTAAATACATATTTTCAATATAGTTACAACATTGTACTGTATTCTTCTTGGTTCAACTAGTCTATTAAAATCAACATTGCTTTCTATTACTTTTATTACAGCTGATATATATCGTCACCATAGAACAACAAGGGTTTAACTCAAAATTTGAAACAATAGGAGTTAACATATTACTGCATTAAGGTGACAATATGAGAATTTACCTGAGATTTCTCTGACAAATTGTGAACCAATGCCAGCGCTCAAACATGCGCCTCTGTAACACAGATTGCAAGCACTCAACAGCAGCGGCTCTCCTCTGTTTCATTACAACAACGAACGTATACCAGTGCTGGAAAGCGCGTGTCTGGACCTTCTGTCTTATATACATGTCTACGGCCTCACGTCTTTGTACCAACTCCTCATAGCGCCTTTTCCATGTGTAAAAGGCATTCCTGGATGTAAAATGATAATAATGTAACAAATTTGTGAAGGGAAATGTTTACACTGAAAGATCTGGATGTTATTATTATGCGAAGAAAAATAGTCAAGGTTTATATGAAATTTATAATAGGATTGTCTTTACAAACAAGAGCACTGCAAAGGCTTGTCTGTTCAGGGCAAGGCCTAAAATAAATACTTAAGAATGTCTCTGCTGATATGTCTTTAGCTTATTTAACAATTTGATGAATTACTTTGTAAATGTTCAATTATTTTCCATGTGACCATGGGGTATAACTCTTGAAATATCATTTGTTTGTTATGTCCCTAAGTCTACAAGCTTTCAGTATAAAGTTCCCTTCTTACAACTGTGCCTTGTAATGACAATCAAGAACTATAAGCTTCATGTTAGTATCTTAAAAAGTATTTGAGTCATGGGCTACATTAAAGTTTCTGCACAATGACGATCCAGTGACAATAAAAGCTTGACTTTTTCTTCAAAACAGACAAGCTAAAAATTGTATGTTAAATCATGACTAAGTGCTTGCAAAAAAGCGTCATGGCCCTTCTTATAATAATTACAAAAGAAGAAAACTTTTTAAAAATGCTGATTTTTTTAGAATTACATGTAAAATGACTGATATAATCTGATTTTCAATACTCGTTTTCTAAGTTACTCTAAAGCATATTTCAGGGTCAGTATGTCAAAAATGTTCACTCACACACAATTATTTTCATATATTCAAAAAGTCTGAGCACAAATTGAGATATAGAGAATAATAGGTTGGTGCCGTGGATGGAGAAAGTTTATCTGGCGAGGCGGAGGAATTTATTGGGTGAGCCTTCGGCTCACCCAATAAATTCCGGAGCAGAGCCAGATAAACTTTCTCCATCCACGGCACCAATCTATTATTCTATTTATCCTGTCACCGTTTTTTTAAAGAATTTTACTAGGCCTACTACCTTTAATCACACTATCGGAAATGTTTCTATATAAACAAAGAAGGCCCGAAGCGTGCATTATTCTACAACAATGCACTCGCCGTTCTTATTATCTCCCTGTGTATTTTCACATTGAGGGCGCCATTTTGTTTGAAAAATTTGATAAATAAAAACAATTTTTTGTCGAATTTTGTTGTGAAAACTATCTAGAATGAAAGAAAATGGTCTAACTTAGAAAATGAATTCGAACACCAATATCTTTTATTCAGTCATTAACGCTGCACAGACGTTTAAAGTATTGTTTACGTGACGTCACAATGTAGCGCCAAACAGCACGTGCAAAACAATCAATTCAAGTACGCTATTTTAATGTCGCAAACGAGTTAAGTTTTACATTTATTTCACTTTTAATAATTTTTATTTCGCTTGAAAAATTATAGAGTGAAATAAAATTACAAACAAAGTTTTATCAACGTTTCCAAAATTCGTTATTCTACACACAGACGATTTAACGACAGTTTATATATTTTTCTTGAAAAGTAGTCCGGCAAACATGCATACCACGTGATCAAGTGCCGTATATCAGTAAAAATATACGGCACCTTGTTATCGGGCCGAAATTGATACAAGTGACAGGATAAATAACATCTTTAACATACCTGGTAAAGTTACTGTCGCACATCCTACAAGCCTTATTGGTCAGAAGGGAGTCCCGCCAGGCCGTGAAATGTGCCCTCAATGCCGACCGTGACCAGTAGACTTCTGCAACACGCATGTCCTCTGCTCTCTCGGCCTTACTGACCTGGGTACCAGCCCTCCACGCTACCATGGCAACCTTCAGCTGTGACACTCTATAAACAGAAATATCATTTAATATTTACTTACCATATAAAATAATTGTTTTAACTCCATTGTGAAAGAAATTCAGTTTAATTATATGAGTCTAAGAAGTTTGTTCAAATTTTATAAAGTCACTGACTTATTTGCTTTTCAGTATCCTTATAACTTTGGAAAGTAATTCAGTATAGCATTGCACAAGATCTCTAGGTTAACAATATGCCTCTGTCAAAAAACCTATCAATAAAAAGCTGTTTATTTTGTGTTTTGAGATACATTTTAGAGTGCCTATCTATTTTTATCATTTGAAGATGACCTCTGGTACTCTTTTGTGCATTACTTAGGAAAGAGTGGGCACTTGACAAGAACTTTAAAATTTTGACCTTAAAAATCAAGATCATTTAGGGGACAAGGTCGTATTCAATATATGAAAATGAAGCTTTAAAGATTAAATGTGTCTGCAGGGACACTGTGACTTACAGACAGATTAAAAGAAATATGACACCCTTCTAACTGACATAATGTTACTTTTATTGAAGGTACAGATGTATTTTAACTTGATAACCTTATGTTGTGTTTCACTATTTTGTTTTCTATTTTGAGACAAATCTACAATGTAAAGGTCACAAGCTTGCTTTTATCTATGAATAAAGTATTACTACTGGATCGCAAAATTGCATGCCCACTCGCTGTAAGTATATTGTACTAAGAGTGATATCACATATATTTATCATTATGGATTAATTACACTTACTTATGGAACTGTTTCGCCACAATGTATTTGGAAAATTCCACTTTCATATAGGTGAACATTTTTCTTTGTAATGTAAACTGGAATAACTGTACAGCTAGAGACTCTCTCTGTTTCTTTTCCTTGGATAATACAGTAAACCACCGCCATGATGACCATCCTTGTGACAATAACCCTCGTCTGGAAATAATACAAGAAATCATTTGTCAAATACAAAAATTAAACAACAGTCGATCATATTTAGCAAGAATAACAGACATCGTGGCCTGTATTAAGCAACAGTTCAAGTTTGAAATTTGAATTTGAGAAGACTCTTAACCTGCTAATTTGGACTAAATTATATGTATATTGTTTTTATTACTTGTCAATACAGATTTCACATGTATACAGCATATCCTGTGCCTATTTATTTATGAAAGGGTGACCTGAATATTAACCATTTTAATGTCACATTATGTAACCAAATAAAATACGAAAATAAAATGGCTATAAGTAAAATATTGATCCATTACACATCCTTTAGTTGATCAGGCAAAAAAAAGTTGTTATTTATGAAATGATGACCTGACATTTCCTTTCAACAGCTTACCTAGCATGCATGTCTGCCTTGTGCTGTTTGAGACACTGTTGATAAGTGTCATACCATTCTAGGAACACCCTTTCCTTCAACCGCCTGTTGCTCTGATTCCGTAACATTCGAATCCTGCAGAAATATAGGTTGATGGAAATTAAAACTCTACCTATCATTTTTAGGCTCCTGATGATCAAAGAAAGTCATGCTTCAAGTTTACTCTATCTAATTTAGGCTTCTAAGGAAAATAAATGAAATCTGATACTAGAAAAACTAAAAATGATTATCAAAGTTCTGAATATCATGTACATGTATATGGTAAGTATAAGACAGAAACAAGAGGGCCATGATGGCCCTGAGGTCGCTCACCTGTATAGGCCCCCCACCCCCCCACCCCAACGTTGCAGGGCCAATTTAACCCAAGGGCTTTTATTTGCACAAACTCGGTAGACACCCATAAGAAGATGTTTCATGCTAAACATCTAAGCTCTAGCTCATTGGGCTTTTTGAAAGAAGATTTTTTTTAAGTTTTTACTATACACATATAGTTAAAAACAATGACATCCCTGGGGCCGGGCCAGTTTTTGACCCCAGGGCTTTTATTTGAACAAACTTTGTAGACACTTACTTGAAGATGTTTCATGCTTAATATCTAAACTCTAGCTATTTGGGTTTTTTCAAGAAGATTTTTAAGTTTTTGCTATATACACATATAAAGAAATCAATGACCCGGGGTGGGCCAATTTTGAACCCAGGTCTTTTATTTGAACAAACTTTGTAGACACTCACTAAAAGATGTTTCATGCTTAATATCTTAACTCTAGCTATTTGGGTTTTTTTCAAAGAAAATTTTTTAAGTTTTTGCTATACACATAAAAGGAAAATCAATGACCCCCGGGGCGGTGCCAATTTTGACCCCAGGGCTTTTATTTGAACAAACTTGGTAGACACCTATTAGAACATGTTTGATGCTAAATATCTTAGCCATAGCTCTTTGAGTTCTTTAAAAGAAGATTTTTTAAGTTTTTACTATATGCATATAGGGAAAATCAATGATCCCCCGGGGCGGGGCCAATTTTGACCCCAGGGCTTTTATTTGAACAAACTTGGTAGACACTTATTAGAACATGTTTCATGCTAAATATCTTAGCTTAACTCTTTTGGTTTTTAAAAGAAGTTTTTTTTAAGTTTTTACTATATGCATATTGGGAAAATCAATGACCCCCTGGGGTGGGGCCAATTTTGACCCCAGGGCTTTTATTTGAACAAACTTGGTAGACACCTATTAGAACATGTTTGATGCTAAATATCTTAGCCATAGCTCTTTTTGAGTTCTTTAAAAGAAGATTTTTTAAGTTTTTTACTATATGCATATAGGGAAAATCAATGACCCCCGGGGCGGGGCCAATTTTGACCCCAGGGCTTTTATTTGAACAAACTTGGTAGACACCCATTAGAACATGTTTCATGCTCAATATCTTAGCTCTAGCTCTTTTGGTTCTTTAAAAGAAGATTTCTTAAGTTTTTACTATATGCATATAGGGAAAATCAATGACCCCCCGGGGCGGGGCCAATTTTGACCCCAGGGCTTTTATTTGAACAAACTTGGTAGACACTCATTAGAACATGTTTCATGCTAAATATCTTAGCTGTAGCTCTTTTGGTTCTTTAAAAGAAGATTTTTTAAGTTTTTACTATATGTATATAGGGAAAATCAATGACCCCCCGGGGCGGGGCTAATTTTGACCCCAGGGCTTTTATTTGAACAAACTTGGTAGACAGTCACTAGAAGATGTTTCATGCCAAATATCTAAGCTCTAGCTCTTATGATTTTTTAAAAGAAGATATTTAAAGTTTTTTCTTTCGGTTGCCATGGCAACCAGAGTTCTGCATGGAATTAAATTCTTTGAACAATTTTTAAAGGTGACCGCCAAAGGAACATTCCTGTGAAGTTTGGATGAAATTGGCTTAGTGGTTTATGAGTAGATGTCATTTAAAGTAAAAGTTTACGGACGGACGACGGACGGACGGACGGCCGGACGCCGGATGAAAAGCGATCACAAAAGCTCACCCTGTCACTTTGTGACAGGTGAGCTAAAAAATAAAAGAAAGTACTTGCAAACTTTGGTAGTTTCTTCTGATCTTTTTTCTACTAATCTGAGTATTTGAAACTTTTGTTTGTAAAAAAACATCAACAAAAATCACCCTCCACCATTGGGTTAGAATATGCACACAATGGGGATAAAAATACATCTTGTTTAAAACGTGCAAATTCTTTTATTTACATTTCAACATATAACTAATGTGTAAAAAGTAGGATGATAAGAAAAGATAAAATTTAAATAATTATAATCCATGAACAAATGAAATTTTATGATAATTTTATAGATCAATTTATTCATGAATCTATATAATAATGTCAGTCTGAGCCGTGGAATGCACCCCTAACATTCTGGTCAGCATGGTCAGTGCAGTCTACAAAGCAGGGGTAGACATTTGTAACTACATAAAAATAAAGCTTCTAAATTTTGTGCTGAGATAATAAAAGTGGACCTTTAAAGCACTTATATAACCTTGACTGCTAAATTTGTGAAATGGTCTTGTCTGGCTTTTGTTTATTTTATCTGGTGCTTACATAAACTGGGTCCTTTATCATAAAGGCTGGCACTCAACTATTTGAGTAAAATCAAATTTTGATGTACCGGTACATAGTAACAAAAACAAAACAAAACAAAGTTTAACCAATAATTACGTTGGCATTAAAAGGGGACAAAAGGAAATCTTTTATTTAATAATTGTTCATACCATATCTATACACAGTATTATAATGCCAAGGGATAGTGCAATTATGTCCTCACATTTTATATACCCGGTACCTATTATGTGGCCACATGATACTGTTATGTGTGAATGTGATAATATAACGAGGCTGAGAGAAAGGTATTAAGTATATATGGGCACTTAACACATATTGCATTACCATATAGTGGTTCCAATGTGCACACATAATCTCGATTTCCTTGACCACATAATACTACTGCATGGGCATATGACTTCTTACTACCATGTGCACATGACTAATATCTATCATTTGCAATGTAATAGTATAATGCGAATGCACATATTAAAACAGAGATGTCCCCTTTATGCCACCGTAAATAATACCATGAAACACAAATTAATACATCAATCCATATTTATAACTCTTGCATGTTTTATTTACCTCTGTATTGGGGTGATAGGCAAATCATCCAACCTTTACATAAAGGGCATATCATTTTGTTAAACCATAATTAATAACAAAGGTAAAAAAATAATTGTTTATCATCATCAGGTATTTATAATCAATACCATTTCTATCTGTGAATAAAAATGATGATAAAATCGTGTCAATAATCAGTCAAATTTTGCATAAAATATGCATAGTGCAACAAAAATTTTTTTAAATAACGTTATCTTCTTTAAATAAACTTTTGAAAGATTTGTTTTTCTCATCTGAAGGTATCTTCTTAAAAGAGATGTTTATACAATTATGCACTGTTTTTCCAAGTTTCCAAATATTCTTACAGAACTTTAAGTAGGAAACATTTAACAAAACAGTTATCTTTCAAATTTTCAATCTTTAATTTCTTCATTTGTATAAACAAAGACAATAACATGGCCATCGTTTAAGGTTGTTCAAAAGCCCGAAGTGTTCTGCTGATAAGTTGTTTATAAATCTCTAATGCATTTTGTAAGAACACCGTAGACAAAACATTAAAATGCCTTTTTACTTCAGTAAGCAATTAAGAATGGGCTTGTTTAATATTTGTCAAGAAAAAATAACGATTCAATAAATACTTCTATAAGAAATTTGAGAGTAATTTTCCAATAAGTTCTTTGTTCTTTAAGTTTAGTTTAATTTAAACTTAATTTATTGCAAATTTAAAGCAATTATGTAATACCCCTCTTCTGTGTTCATAAAAGATTTTAATTAAACAAACATAGTACGACAAAACTTATTCTTAACGGGGAATAGCAATAGAAGTTATAAGTCGTAAGCCATAAGTCAGTGTATTGAATTTTAAGAGAAATTATAAGGTTTAAAAACTGCATTTCTATACAATGTGTATTTTTATACAATAATGTTTTAAATATTCATTAAGAGTTCGACTGATGCAGCGGCTGCATGATCTTGGTCTGCACTGGCGGCATGTGTAAAATTTGTGCCCCCAGCTGCAGACAAGGGTTTTCTTTTTATTCCATGTAATTAATATACATTTGTGTATATTATAAGTCTTGGGAAATCTACATTATGATACTCAATATAGGTTGAAAAATAGTAAATTTTAAAAATGATAATATCTTTTAACACATCTATAATAATGAAAAATAATAGGAAAATAGTCTGTTTCTCTAATAAAAATAACTGTGACTAATGTAAAATTTGTGTACATCTACTCTTTGACAAAAAAATACCCATTCTTAACAATTACTTTGTATTTCTCCTGCAAAAACAAACAAAAAGTCACCAACATTAACAAAACAGTTTTATAATGCTTATAATAATTAGGACAGTAAAAAGAGTATAAAAACAAAAGTACCATAGATATCAAAATGTCCAAATTTTTATCAAAGAATTACCTTTCAAAGAAATCAAAATTCCATAGGAAGAAATGAATGTGCTCAAATTTTTGTGTTATAATGAGAGATAAAATTTAAAGTTTTTATGGAGATTTCAAAGTGTTGGTTGAAATACCAATGTGCTGTGGTATCATTGTGTTGATTTTTAACAATTCTAGTCAATTTTTGACTGGTATATTAACAAGAGGGCCATGACGATGGCCCTGAGTGGTCGCACCCTGTATATAGGCCCCCAACCCAACCCCCCAAAGTTGCAGGGCCATTTAACCAAAAGGGCTTTTTATTTGCACAAACTTGGTAGACACCATAAGAAGATGTTTTCATGCTAAACTCTTAGCTTGCTAGCTCATTGGGCTATTTAAAGAAGATTTTTTTTAAAGTTTTTACTATACACATATAGTTAAAAACAATGACACCCTGGGGCCGGGCCAGTTATTACCCCAGGGTTTTTATTTGAACAAATTTGTAGACACTTACTAGAATTGTTTCATGCTTAATATCTAAACTCTAGCTATTTGGTTTTTTTCAAAGAAGATTTTAAGTTTTTGCTATACACATATAAGGAAAATCAATGACCCCGGGCGGGGCCAATTTTGACCCCAGGTCTTTTATTTGAACAACTTTGTAGACACTCACTTAAAGATGTTTCATGCTTAATATCTTAACTCTAGCATTTTGGGTTATTTCAAAAAAGATTTTTAAGTTTTTGCTATACACATATAAGGAAAATCAATGACCCCCTGGGCGGGGCCAATTTTGACCCCAGGGCTTTTATTTGAACAAACTTGGTAGACACCTATTAGAACATGTTTGATGCTAAATATCTTAACCATAGCTCTTTGAGTTCTTTAAAAGAAGATTTTTTAAGTTTTTTACTAATATGCATATATAGGGAAAATCAATGAACCCGGGGCGGGGTCAATTTTGACCCCAGGGCTTTTATTTGAACAACTTGGTAGAAATTATTAGAAATGTTTCATGCTAAATATCTTAGCTCTAACTCTTTTGGTTCTTTAAAAGAAGATTTTTTTAAGTTTTTACTATAATGCATATAGGGAAAATCAATGATCCCTGGGGCGGGGCCAATTTTGACCCCAGGGCTTTTTTTGAACTAACTTGGTAGACACCTATTAGAACATGTTTGATGCTCAATATCTTAGCATAGCTCTTTGAGTTCTTTTAAAAGAAGATTTTTTTTTTTTTTTACTATATGCATATAGGAAATAATGACCCGGGCGGGGCCAATTTTTGACCGCCAGGGCTTTTTATTTGAACAAACTTGGTAGACACTCACTAGAAGATGTTTCATGCCAAATATCTAAGCTCTAGCTCTTATGGTTTTTTAAAAAGAAGATATTTTTAAAGTTTTTTCTTTCGGTTGCCATGGACCAGAGTTCTGCATGGAATTAAATTCTTTGAACAATTTTTAAAGGTGCCACCAAGGACATTCCTGTGAAGTTTGGATGAATTGGCTCAGCGGTTTATGAGGAGATGTCATTTAAGTAAAGTTTACGGACGGACGGACGGACGGGACGGACGACAGACGCCGATGAAAAGCGATAAAACAAATCACCCTGTAAATTTTGGGGACGGGTGAGCTAAAATTGATTAATTTTTCAGTGTTTTAATTTGGATTCAAGGTTCTTGATATAAAGGGTTAATTCATATTCTTTGTGTGATTGGAAATAAAATTATTGATGGAGGTACAAGTTGAGGAGATACTGTTATTATTCAGATAGAATGTGTTGTTGGGGTATGAGTGTTGATCGAGGTAAAATGTGATGAATATCAATGTTTTTCTTTTTAAATTTAAAAAGGTTTGATTAAGGTATATTTGATGAGTATCATGTTCAAGATAAGTTTTTGTGTTTTTATTGATTTGTGATTGAGGTTTGGTGAATGTGGAAATAAAAATTTTTACGAGAATGTCTTTACTGAAGACAATTTTTTTATTATAATCAAAAACTTTTTTTGGGTTAAAATCGTGTTAAGGGAAAATACATGTAACATTTATGGGTATTATGAAAATAACAGTGCGTTTCCTTGAAAATTAGATAAAAAGATGTTTAAATTATTAATATCAATGCCTTTGATAATAACTATGAGTCATTAGAACTCTACATTCATGGGACCATTAATGTGTCTATTTTTTATTTATAAAATATCACTTTGTGTATCAATGCATCAAGATTTTAACATATTTTTTAAATACAGCAAGGAAATTTCAATATCATATTATTATAGTGACATCAATTTGTTTTTAAATCATTTGTGTTATAAATCAAATATTGATGTGATAATTAACTGTATTATTATATCAATGCTTTAATGCAAATATTAATGGGATGACAGCATGCAATTTCAATGTGTTAAAGGTGCATAATTACTCAATATACTTTGTTTATAAAAGATAAGAAAACATTTTAAATGTCAATGAACTGTGAAGATATCAACAAATTTTAAAGTGATATCAATGTTCTAAATGGTATTGTATCACACATAGATGTAAATAATATTGTATCAATGTAAATATTGAAATATCATTATTGTCTATGTTTTAAGACATATGATTTTTTATTAAGACATAAATGTTAAGTTAAAAATTAATGATGGAAACTTATAAGATGATTATACACATACAATCAGGGAAATCAAGACGTGCATTAATTTTCTAGGTCACTAAATTTTGATGACAAATTAGAATCTTTGAACTTTAAATGGATCACAATATTTGTAAGAATAAAATTAATGCAAGTGCAATAATTGGCAAATCAAACAGATGCAATGCAGAAGAAGTTGCTACTGAAAAATTACCCAAACTGAAAAGCATTGCAATACTTTAATACTCAAATAAGGCTAAGAGTAGCACAAAAATATGATTTCAGATTTATTTGCAAGTATATTTCTTAATATTATATTTTGCATACCTTCCTGTTTTAAATGCCACAGTTGATTAATGTAAGAAATTCAAATTTTAATGTTTATAGGCTTTTAGACTTTAAAAGTTTATATTATTTCAACACTGTAACACATGGAATTTCTTCATTTTATGTACATTAAGCTTCTATAGCCTTAGGGCATCTTACATGTAGATAAAAACAGTCCAAAGAAAGAAAATATGAGTTTAAGTGACAGACATGTAAAATTAAGACCGTGTCTTAAATTATACATAATCCGTCTTAAACAGGGTATGGATATAGTATTTTCAATCAGTGTCATACAGAAGCTTGTATTTTTATATTACAGTAGTCTATCCAGCATGAATCAGCAGAAATTTTTGGATGACTTCATTAATGCTATTGATAAAAAATTAATATCAGTCGAGAAAATATCTGTAGGGAAATTCATGCGTGTATTTCATAATCCTGCACAATATACCAATGGAGTTAGTCTCACTTAAGTGCTTTTTAAAGGTTACAAGATGAATTTAGTTGAATTATTAAAGGGATACTTAGGCAAAATAATGGCAAAAATATAAAAATGATTTTCTGTACTCAAATCACCCTAAAATGACATTTCTTAAAGTTCCAACATGAATTTCTGTATAAATTCTATATATTTTGGGTTTGAAGTTTAAATATATCTATATATGTTGAACGAAATTTTGACGCAAACAGAATCAACGAATAGTTTAAAAACAAGTCATGGGATTTGAACAAACCCTGGAAGTTACAATAACAAATATTGTGGATATTGTATGATTGAAACAAGTCTAAGTAATTGATTTGACATGTTTTTTAACGTTTCCAGAGTACAGAGTGACAACTAATGTGAAATTTTAGCGCTCTAACCTGACCCACGCGGGTCAAGTTAGGAAAACACCATTTTATTCTTTATATGGAGAAAAGTTTTGTTCCTTTGACTGTTTAGTGTATTCATTTTGAGGACATTTACAGAATAATGAATGAAAATTTCAAAACTAAGAAATGAAAATTTTGCCTGTGTCTCCCTTTAAGGTGTTATAATAAATGGAAACATATCTTGACAATATGCTTATTAGTACCGTAACAGTTGTAAATTATGAAATATAGGTTACACTGACACTGTTAAGGTCAAATGACAATTTTTCAGCATTTGTAACTAGTGGAACAAACACTTCAAATGTTCCTTCATGCATCCTAATTCCAACCACAAACAGGCATCTGAGTAGAACATGATTGACCATCTTTAATCTAACCAGATGGTTTCCTCACATGAAACAATCCAAATTCCCTGGGCTGGATTCAAACCGGCAGCAACGACTGACAACAGTTACTGTTTAAAAGTCAGCCACTTTAAATTACTCAACCATAATGGCTTTTTAGATTTTTAACTGATTAGGTAAAAATTTGATAACATGATTGAGGTAACGATAATGACATAATGAGCGAGGGATCGGATAATGATTGTGACACTGTGAAAAGATACACTGACAATATGAAACAAACCTTGACACCCTGTGTAACAATGAACCCTTTGATATGTAAAAACACATATGAACAGACAATAAAAAGGTTTAAATGACTGATAATGTAACAAGGGAGGTAATGTCACAATACACCATTTATGCGGCACACTTGCACGATGATAAGATATTATTTATTGGTTCGGAGAGTTTACGGGGAAATTTGGAACAACGTGATTTTTGCAGTAAATAAGACTTACTCGAGATTCGCTATATTTCCCCTCGTTCTCAAGCTAGTTATCATAACAAAATAAATACAGCAAAATAAAAAAAATGCACAATAACACCTTTATTTAACACCATCTTTATTTAAAGACCACATTTTGAAAGGCAACAATATGAACCCTTTTCAGAACTGCCAATAATTATGCACTCATAATATCTAATTTTATATTTTTTTTCATATTTATGTATTAACCAATCATGTAGTTGTCTCAGATGACCTTATAAATTTATGGTCATATAAATACCAGCTTAAAGCATTTGATTGGTAAATTTTAAAAAATCAAATTTTATAATCAACAGATGAAAAGCTTCCTTACATATCTGGTTTTCAGACTCAATTTTAAAACCAATAGTCTTTGGTGTTTTTTTTTCTGAATGTGGTCTTTCATAAGTAAAGGCTTGGTAAAGTCAAATTACAACTTTAATATAACTACAAATTAATAACATTCAAATATCTACATAATTATACTGTTTCTATATTATGCTTTTATTCTATAAATAACAGTGTCTACTATTCATGTAAGTATGCTACACAACAGATTAATGATCTCCATTAAAAGAAAAACAACAACAATTCATAGTAATGTCAATAAAGATTATCTACTTAATATCCAGCATTAACTTAATAAGCTTAAAAAAAAGCAGTCAGCATGATAGTGTGCTCAACTATTCCCAGTATCCTCTGCTTGACAGTAGGAAAAGGGGCATAACTCTGTTAAAAGGTAGCACAGAGTTATGGGACTTGTGCCCATCATGTTGGATAATCACAGAGACCAAGAGTGTGAAGTTTCAATCCATTCCTTTCTTGAAGAAACCAACTTGTATGCTACAGAAAAACTGTATGAAAAATGGACTTTATAAAAAACATAGAATTACCCGTTTTTAATGGAGATCTTTAAATCTGTTGGAGATAATATAATACTTTATTACCCTTCCAGATTTTTTCCTTCTTTTTGATTGGATATTGGTCACCCGAAAGAAATTGATATTACCGAGCCAGACGGGTAATATACACACTACATTTCCCCGTTGGGTACCCCACGTTGTAAACAACATGGGCTGTGGCGATGCGCGTACGGTTTGATTTTACGCGAGGTAAATTCCGATTTACAAGCACTTTTTATCTGTCAAATGATAAATATTTACCAAAACAGAGTAATGATACATATTCTCATCAGAACTGAAAAGAAATATGACCTTGTGAAATCTTGATATTAATTCCAAAAAATGCGTTCAACAGACCACTCCTTTTCTCTTGTTTACATTTGTTAGGTTCGAAAGAAAATACGTCATGTATTTATGTGACATCATGTTGTGGTGAAAGGGTACCCTAAAGGGAATCTTATTTCGACGTTTCATTTGAAGTAGCAATGATTTATATTAAAATGGTCTTAACTCGGCAGGGGAAGGTTAATAAAATTATTATTTTGGTTTTTCAAGTGATATATGTGGATATATTACCTGCCAAGATAGAATTTCACCCTTGCCTAATGGCTTGGGTGATATAAAATCTTGACAGGTAATATATCCACATATATCACTCCAAAATAAAACTAACATATAATATTAACATGTCATTAATCATTATGAGTAGCACTAAATCAATTTCAAGATAAATAAATGCATATGAAAGACGAAATGTACGTACTTTTGTGCCTCTTTTGTAAACTGTCTCCATCGGAAGAATGCTTGCTGAAGTCGCAGACGTCTGTTTTCTAAGGTTCGATACTTCCACTACAATTGAATAATAATTCTTTGAACCACGTTTGAAAACTATGTTCTTTGTTTGATTTTAGTCCAGACCATAACTGTAAAAGGTCATCGTGTTGATATTCTAGAGTTACTGATAACAGCAAGACCATAGGTGCTTCTTAGTGCATTATTTCAGGCATAGAAGCCGGCACCTGAGTAGAACCATTGTCCTTCAGTATAAGATAACCCTCTTATGATCTTTGGTTTCACAGAAGTAACTATCTCTATTACTGGTATGACTATTTGCAATATAGTATGACCAGATGACCAAAGAGTTTTACCATGCTAAATTCATATGATAGACTTAAATTTAAGACTGTCAAAAGAGGGATTCCAATATCAAAACAAGTGCTGCTTGTAGGACAGTGAGCTAGACTATCCTCAGTGCTTAAGAGTAAAGCAAGAGCCTGGATAATGTAAAATTTTCTAAATAAAGAAAGGGCCATAATTCTATTAAAGTCCAAAATTCATGCCATTTATGTTCAAAATTCATGCAAGATTTACCTTGGTAAATATAGACTGTAGCAACATGATATTGATCCTATCTTGTAGCATACCCTGTTGAAGTTTGGACCTGTTGATGGCCCATTTAAATGCGTTCATCCCCTTCTGTAAGGTGTGTCTCCTGTGCAGGAGCTCAACCTGACGATGCAGCCCGGCATTTCTACTGGCTGTCTTCCAAACATTGAAGTAGTAGGCCAACACATTGGTTCTGTAGCATGTGTCACTCCTGAAATGAGAATTAAGTTTCACTTAAACTTTTCTTAAGTTGAAGTCGATAATTCAAGATTCAAGAGCCTTAACTAATGCTAAACATTTTGCTCTTTACATTACATGGTGACACTCCAGCTCTACTGGTGGAGGAAGACCTCAGGTGCCCTTCCATGCATTATGCTCTAATTCGTTACACTCAAACGAGCATAAATCATTTACATTCTTTAATAATACACCTTTGAAATAATAAACAACACAACACAGAGTTTAAAGAGGCTAGAGGGAGTATTTGAAAGCCGTGGCCCTTCCATGCATTATTTCAGACACAAACGGGCACCTGAGTAGAACCACTGACATTCCGTAAGCAAGCTTCTGATTAAATTAAGATAAACGTCAAATAAAAATTATCTATTTACGCTGTTTTTTAAATATAATATAGATATATCTTTATGCAAAATTTAAGTATTTTTATATCAAAAGTAACACTTAAATCTTAATATACTGTTTGTGTACTGAAGATTCTTAAAAATATGCATATTTGTAATAAATCTTTTATCAGCATTTAAATACATGTATTATTTAACATAGCTATTATCACATCTGTTGTTGCTTTTTTAAATAACTTTCCCGGTGAAGGCCTATGCCATAATGTTAAAACATCATAAAAGTCATATTCATGTGTATTTGTTGATTTTTCTATCTGAAAATTGATAAATTTCATAGAGAGAAAAAGAAATTCTGTGTAGGACTGTCTTAACCAATGAAATGCCTTGTTTCCTGACTGACAGATCCAACTTACTTCCGTAACATGACACCATAGCTGATTGGACTAACTCTCTTCGCAGCTTGAGTAATTTCGAAGTTTCTCGCCTTTGCATGTAACACATTATTAAACCATCGGCGGAAACATTTCGCCTGAAATGGATAAAAAAATAATAAAAATGGACATATTTATTCATACAAAAAATCAAGGCTTCTTAAATTGTTAAGGCCTTTGATGCTACAGTTCACACTCTTGAGTTTAAAATTTTGATGAGCAAACAAAATGCAATTACTTAAAATGCAAGAATTTAACACCACTGAAGGGCCTTTGTGGCTGTGTGGTGAAAGGCAGCTGACTTCCAATCACTTATCTTTCATTGTTTTGGGTTCAAATCCAAAAGGACTTCTAGAGCTTATGATCCAGCTCACTTACATAAGGTCTATTGAAACTCATAATAATACATAACATTGCTAACATGCAAGAAGAAAAATCAAACACTATTTGCAATCACAGACGGGAATCTTTGGCTCTCTGAATTAATCATTTTGTGAAGACCCAGCAGAATTTCATTATCAGAAACGTTACACTCCTAAGTCTAACAACTTAAAAGATACCCTAAGTCCTATATCCCAGACCCAATCTCTACAGCCATTGAAAGAGTCTGATAATAATAAACACTATAATTACCATGAGCACCAAGTTTTGTCTTGTTTCTGTGTCAACATTGTAAAGTTTACGCAGCAGTTTCACCGCCTGGCACGTGGACGAGATTGACTCTCCGGATCGGATAGAAAATGGAAGGCTAAACACTGAAGACCTGAAAAAAGATCACAAAAATCTGAGTGCCAGTCAAATGAATATGTTATCCTGAATATTAAATAGTTATCTGATTCAAACTAGGATAAGCAATAAGTTATTCACAAGATAAATTCACAATAAAACACATATACAGTACAAAGCAGAAATACTCAGTGGTAAAGCTCACAACAGCTATTTTTTTTTAAAAATCAATTTTCATAATAAAATTTGGTAGTACTGAAATTTCAAGTTTGCAACATGTATACTATTCAAGATAAAATTTTGTTAAACTATATGTATTTTGCATTTATAATTATGCATGTACAAATAACTCTGCCAAACTGGGTTTACTGCCAAATCATTATTTTTCGTGGGACATTCATTTTTGTGGTTTTCATAATGGATAGGTCACCAATTTTAAGAGATCCAATAAAATGTAATTTCATCTGCTGTAAGATTCTTTTTTTTTTCAATTTACTTTTCTACAAAAACAGACAATCTACGAAATTGAAAACCCCCCGAAAATGATATTTGTGACAAAACCATAAAATTTGATGCCCACGAAATTGGGTGAATGTATCACAGTAAGCAAATACCAACTTTTAAATTATTTAATTTCTGAGAGAAAAACAATTCTTTTTTCTTTAGATTTCAGATAATTTTTGTATCATAAATATTATCAGCTTCTATAATCATCATAAGCTGCAATAATTATAAATAAGCCATCTACAAAGCTAAATCATTCTTTATGATACCCTCATTCATCATTCTGTGCAAAAAAACAACCACAGCACTCCAAACAATAATGTGGTAAATGCAATATATATATGGGCAACACAATTCATAAATATTTGCAATATGGGTAACACAATTCATATAAATATTTGCACAATCTATTTATCCTGTAACTCCAAGCCTCGACAAAGCCAGTCTGATAACTTAATTTGCATTAATTTTATAATACATGAGAACACAAATATCAGTGATTTGAGTATATGCATATTGATAGGTGCAATAGAAATACCATCACATGTTTCAATAAATTGATAATGGTCTATGAGAAAAATTGACAAAAACGCTAAAAACAGGCCCAGCTAATATATAGTACCTACACTTATTAACAATCCTAAAAAGGAACTTTAAAGCTCTTAAAAGAGGTTTTTATCTAAAAACATTCATACTTGCTAAAAATGTCCTGAAGACGTACTGATTAAATGTTACTTTTTTTACAGATAAATTAGCTAACATACTGTAAGTTTAAACTAACACAATAATCAACCCTATTAACTATTACATAGGTACTAGTGTATAATATAACTCTAAACACTCATTTTAACAATATAATACATTAAAAAAAATGTTTCTGAACTAAACTCTTGCTCGCCCCACCATAAACTCTTGCTCACCCAACCCTTATAACAACACTCCTTTTCCTTACTGTTAGATCTGTTCTTTTTTCCAATTAGATATATCTGCCCCTTATCTTGCCAGCCTCACACCCTTGATCCCCCCAGATACATCTACCACTAATTCCCTCCTTTTATGTTTGTTCAACTATGATACCCTGGCCCTCATTATCCCTTATCCCCCATCTTATAAATACAGCTGCATATAAATACTATTATACAATATTCAACTAAACATACATAAAATGCTAATTTACTTTACAATATCAAACTTTTTATATAAACAATATAAATCTGTAATAAATATGTCAAAATAAAAAAAACCAATATCAATCCATTATTATTATTTCAATCAGGGAAATTTTCAACATTATGATGGGACTTGACACATAATTTGAAATCAAAATACAAAACTACCTATAACGGTTTTAAATCTAAAGTGCCTTTAAAATGAAACACTTGTCATAATCTAGTAGTCCCACTACACTGTACCTCTTATCAACCTGAACCTTTTAAATTATAAATAGACATATTTAAATATTTGCAAATTACAAAGAAATCTTTCTTAAAATTTCAGTAATAAATCAAACATTGTCATTCCTATTTCACCCCCTTTAAGCTACAAAACCTTCAGGTGAGTAAAATTTCAACAACAAAAAAAAACCCAACAAAACATAATTATAAACAAGAGGGCCATGATGGCCCTGGATGGCTCCCCTGACCCATCAACCGCATCCAAACAATATCTTAGACAAGCATCCTGGCCAAGTTTGATGACAATTGAGTCGAAAATTTGACCTCTAGTGTGTTAAAAAGGTTTTCCATATTTGGGCAATGTGACCTAATTTTTGACTGGAAACGATCCATATTCAAACTTGACCTAGAAATCATCAAAACAACCTTTCTGACATATTTCCATGATATTTGGATCAAAACTGCAGCCACTACTGTGTTAACAAGCTTTTTCTATTTTTAGCTCCTGTGACCTAGTTTTTGACCGGAGATGACCCATCTTCAAACTTGACCTAGAAATCATCAAACAACCTTCCTGACAAATTTCCAGAATATTTGGATCAAAACTGCAGCAACTAGAGTAAGCTTTTTCTATTTTTAGCTCCTGTGACCTAGTTTTTGACCGGAGATGACCCATCTTCAAACTTGACCTAGAAATCATCAAAACAACCTTCCTGACAAATTTCCAGAATATTTGGATCAAAACTGCAGCCACTAGAGTGTTAACAAACTTTTTCTATTTTTAGCTCCTGTGACCTAGTTTTTGACCGGAGATGATCCATCTTCGAACTTGACCTAGAAATCATCAAAACAACCTTCCTGACAAATTTCCAGAATATTTGTATCAAAACTGCAGCCACTAGAGTGTTAACAAGCTTTTTCTATTTTTAGCTCCTGTGACCTAGTTTTTGACCAGATATGACCCATCTTCGAACTTGATCTAGAAATCATCAAAACAACCTTCCTGACAAATTTCCAGAATATTTGAATCAAAACTGCAGCCAGTAGAGTGTTAACAAGCTTTATCTATTTTTAGCTCCTGTGACCTAGTTTTTGACCGGAGATAACCCATCTTCGAACTTGACCTAGAAATTATCAAAACAACCTTCCTGACAAATTTCCAGAATATTTGGATCAAAACTGCAGCCACTAGAGTGTTAACAAGCTTTTTCTATTTTTAGCTCCTGTGACCTAGTTTTTGACCGGAGATGACCCATCTTTAAACTTGACCTAGAAATCATCAAAACAACCTTCCTGACAAATTTCAAGAATATCTGGATCAAAACTGCAGCCACTAGAGTGTTAACAAGCTTTTTCTATTTTTAGCTCCTGTGACCTAGTTTTTGACCGGAAATAACCCATCTTCAACTTGATCTAGAAATTATCAAAACAACCTTCCTGACAAATTTCCAGAATATTTGGATCAAAACTGCAGCTACTAGAGTGTTAACAAACTTTTTCTATTTTTAGCTCCTGTGACCTAGTTTTTGACCGGAGATGACCCATCTTTGAACTTGACCTAGAAATCATCAAAACAACCTTCCTGACAAATTTCCAGAATATTTGGATCAAAACTGCAGCCACTAGAGTGTTAACAAGCTTTTTCTATTTTTAGCTCCTGTGACCTAGTTTTTGACTCGAGATACCCCATCTTCGAACTTGATCTGTATTTCATTGAGACAAACATTCTGACAAAGTTTGACAATGATCCAATTAAAACTGTGACTGCTATATTATTAACAACCCAATTGTTGACGACGCACGACGACGGACGCCGGACATCATAAGCCCCATCACTATACCTCACCTTGACCACTTCGTGGTCAGGTGAACTAAAAAATCTATGAAAATAATGCAATTAACATATCTGAAAAACAGTCCTCTATAGAACAATGATGTCTTTATCAATTCTCCAAGTAAGATGTAGAAATGCCAATTTCACCTCTGTTAGAGCAATAACTCTCTGTTAAACAACCATAATCTTTGTCTCCCAAAGGATGTTGTTCTACAGAGGTTGTAATATTTAGGTTTTGAAAATATTTAAATTCTTACAATATGCAAATATTTTTACCCCATATTTATATTTGAATTGTTCTAGGTTAATTATTTCTGAACGTCGTTGGTACTCAAACTACTCAGGTGAGCGTTCATGCCGAAGGGTACCCGAGGTCTTCCTCCACCTGAGTAAAGCTGGAACGTCAACATAATTATGACCTATACTGTGTTGGGGTGACGTAAAACCCAATCAAACAATTATTTCTGATGATTGTAAGTGCCATAGGTTCACTTAATTTAAAATCACTTTATTTAAAAATTTAAACTGAACAATATTTTTAGATCAATTTTCATGTTGTTTTGTTTTAATACAAAATTGTAAGAAATCTGGAGGCATGATGCTTTAAAGTGCATCTTAAACATCTTAAATTCTTTCAAATAATTCACATTTCAATCCTGACATGTCTTACTATTCAAAGTGGATCGAAAAATATTGAAAAAACATTCTCAATGAGAAGGTATTGATCTTTTCAATGGGCGAATATATCTGACTACAGTAGGTATAAAAGCTATCAAATTCAAATTAAGGGGAAATAATCAATATCCTATGGTATTCAATGTATACAAAATGCTAATGTGTTAATTATAATATTGAATAATAAATTCATAAATGTTTACTATAGGTAAATATAAAATTTAAATGTACATGAAATTTTATGTTAACTTATCGAAACGGTTGGTATTTTTTAATCATATATGACAGTTTAAATCACTGCATGGTATAAAAATTTTGTACCTTGGGTATTTATTGGGCTCATGTCACATTAATATAAACACTGACCCTTGCTGAATCTATATAAAATGGATTTGCCCTGCTTTAAAGTGTGAACTGTTCAACTGTACTAAAATAATGTTGGGGAGTTCGAAGAATTTCAATATGAAAATAATAAACAGACATGTCACCCAATGGTGACCAGATTGAATTGAATGTGTTTAAATGCACCGTAAGGCCAGGCTCAGTATTGCCTGTTGGCATTTTTCGTTATGATAACTGCCTTTTGTCCTAACGCTACCTTTATAATTTTTCACTCAATGTATAACATTTCCTTTTCCTTCTATAGCTTGGGTCATTATAGGGCTGTTATCTCCAAATCAAGTTTTTTCTTCCCCTTTTGCAAAATTATTTTACCAAATAATTTTTCCCCGAAATTAAGGGCATGGCTGCTTCCTCAACCTGTGAAAAAAGCTTGTCCACAGAAATAATTTCCTGTAATATATACAATGAAGTTTTAATTGCCTGTCAATTAACAAATTAAATTTACCCCATTTTAAACTAAATAAACATGTGCATTATGAAGAGTAAGTACGGTAAAAACCGAAATTCAAGACAACAATACAGATTTGTTGCAAACAAACTTTTAAATCGATATTTACATAATAAATCAGCTATATCAATATTAAATAATGGTTTTAGAATAGAAACTTTAATCACAATACCTGTACAAATACCTTTAATATTGTAATTGATCCTAGGGTTATTATGACTTTTAAATCCATGCACTCAAATAAATATAGCAGAAATAATTGAATCAGACATTTGGTGTTAAATTTATAAAACATGCGATGTCTGGACATTTGTTGTTTCTGATGTGTGTTGTTTTTCTTTTACATTTGTAAGGTATTGAGAAACACTGAAATATGGTGACTTTCCAGCTTTACTCACAAGTGGATCAGAATCATGACCTCAAGTGCCCATTGATGCATGAGCAGGGATCAGAATATTTCATAACATAGCAGAATAGCATTCTCACATGATAAAAAAACAATGAAAGTCTGAACCTAAAACAGCCAGACTTGGTAAAATGAGCAACCTTAATCAATCAGCAATTGTCTAAATGGATTTTGGACATAAAAGTTATATTATTGCAATTCAATTTAAATTCTATGTGTACGCTGTATACACCCAACAGAAATCATTAATCTTTTCAGACAATTAAACATGTAATATATTCATTCACTTACTACATGTATACTGTTCATTAAAATGAAATTAATAAATGAATAAAAGATATTATAAATTTGTACATGTAACAAAAAGAGGTAAACATGTACATGTAGCAAAAAGAGGTAAACAATTTCAACAAGACAACCTAAGAATACAATTATTAATAATTCCTATTCTCCTTAAAATAATTTTAAAAGCTATTAATTTAACTAACAAACCACATTCTCACTTGTAATAAAAAGTTGGGTCTTTAAGATTTTGGTTCATGAAGTGGTGGGTCTTTAAGGTTAAAGTGGTGGGTTTCATGAAGTGGTGGGTCTTTAAGAAAATGAAAGAATGATAATGGTCACAGAATAGATAAGATAATGAACAACATCTAACAACCTCTAGATCAAACAACAAACAAGCTTTCACCTAGCATGTGCTACAAACATTACCTAGTTGGTTTTGTATGTGTTGCCACCCTATGTGTTAAAGGGAGGTAATTATAATATCAATAATATAATACAAAAGAAGATACACTGTAATTATGAAGAAAAAAAAGGACATTTTTCTACAAAACTTGTTATGTATCGCGATTTGCACTTTGCCATCCTGAGTGTTAAAGGGAAGTAAAAGATCAACAGCATGATTGTTTTATATAATAAAGCTTCCAAAATGCTTCATAAACTAAAATGGTTAGATGACATGATTATTGAACTATCAGAGGCTAAACACACATTTTTCTATAGCACATTAGCTTTTATATTTATTTGGCTAGTAGACATTATAAGATGACTCTGTTCCCCTGTTCAACTACCACCCTCCCAATTTTGACTCTTTTGATGACCTTTGATTAAACAGTCTGCCTGTGGTTTGTTCGATAAAACTTTTACCCTGCTCTAATGTTGTCCTGCATCAACTTAAGAATCGAGATTTTCCGGACCTAAGTTTCTCCAGACCTAGCAATTGAGGGCTATCCCCCATCTTATCCTGGGGTACAAAATCTTTTATAATAGCTGTTACAACTTTGTAAATATATCAATTAAAAGCCAGGCAACCTGTTGATCACTCTCTTTTGAAAGGTTACAGTGCACCAGTACCCTTAACAATTGATGCTTGTTTGTACCTCGGGATAAGATAGGAAAATCCCACATTTCCCGAGTTCCAGATAACATCTAAAAGAATGGTGATTTCAATATTAAAAAGATGGTAGATTTCAAAATAAAAATGGTGACAGTAGTATAAAAACAGGCCAGAGTTCAATTTAATTGATGTGCACGCTTGTCTGGTATTACCCTGGTTGCATAATTATGGCAAAGTTTGTAAAGTTGAAAAGAATAAAAAAGGACAACTTTCAATGTAAGCTATAAATCTTACAGTGTCATTTTTAAACCTAATATATTTGGACACCAACTATTTCACACAGACTGACTGAAATTGTAAATTGATCAATCAGCTATTCAAAATCAATCAATAATGATTTATATTCTATTGAATTAGCATGTATATCCAATGATAATAGTGTGCAAATAAATTTTATAAAACCTGTATAAAAGAAAAAAATTTTGATCTGTATGTAAATTGTATACATGTAATTATAAACACTGAAATTTAATCTACTGTCAAAATATTTCGGGCTCAAACATAAAATTTCTGACTCAGACATCATTAATATGCATATAAAAATACTACATTTACAATATTATATAATTTATACTTGTATATATATTTCATTAATATACTGTATATTAATGGGGCTTAAAATGATAAATCATATAAAAAATCAGTTTCAAAATATTTTTTCATGATATTATAAAGTAGAAGTGTGCTTCTGAGTAAAAGGGTCATTCAAAGGTTAAATTCTTGTACAATCTATCCATAAAGATAACTTATTGATCAAATTTATCAATAAATAACAGTAGTCAACATTTACATTATTGTCTTAAAGTATATAATACTATAATTCACTATACATTTAATACATTTTAAAACCACTTAGAAAACTTTAAATTAGCACTCCTTTAAATAAAATCTACCACTTAGTGAATGCCTACCACACTATATTAACATTATGTTAAGTGAATCTAATTTTGGTATAATTGACAATCAATATTAGGTTCAATAAACAAAAATATTGGTTAGCATATTAATTTAAAGCAACTGGACACAAAAGACTTAAGCTTAAGCAATAGTCTATGGCATAATTAAATGATTTGGCTTTTAAATAAAACATAACTTACTCTGTACTCGCAGAATCCCAATTATCTGCAGCTTTCCCCTGTAAATTTCTGATTGTTTGGAGATCTGGTGTAAATGATCGCCGCCTGGTTGGCGATTTCTGCGAGACCTGAACATCCTTCATCGGAATTTCCAGTTCCAGCTGATGCTTCTGCGTTGTTACAGCCATCGTTATATGCTCTAACCGATCAAAAATATCCTGCCTACTCAACGGTCTTTTATCGCCACTCGTGCAATTAGGCTGGATTATTCCATAAGCAGTTTTTGGACTTGGCGTATGTGATTTATCATTTCTGGTTTTCTCAAGTTTTCCATGTTCCCTGTCACTACCATTGGACAGTCCTTTAAGTGCTTGTAGAGGAGATCCAACTGGATAGCTTATACAAACATTTAACTCTTCCATCATCATATCATCATCATCATTATCAACATATTTCCCTTTCATAAGTTTTTCTTGATTTTTAATCCATTCCCTAACTTTTCTTTCACTTTTACTTGATGCATCTTTCGCATTTATCTTCTCCTGTTTTGAATCTTTAAGTTTATCTAACAACCTATTATTCTGTGACAGAATTTCAGAATCTCCATGTGTCTTTCCTGAGATGCCATTCATATACAAAATATCTTCACCCCTGTTACTCCCTCTGGAGCTTGGTCTGTGATTCCCAGCATCATATTTGTGTTTACTATGCTCTGAACTTCTTCGTTTTCTATTTATAGTTTCACCATTTTCTTCCAATACCTTATTCCTATCAACATTTTTTACAGAACTTTTATGCTTTAATTTTTCTGGGGTTAAGCTTGTCCCTACAAAGTTATTAACATTTGTTTGCCTTTCATCTCTAGATGGAGATGCCACATCATTATTTTTCAAGTTTATACCAGGTTCAATACCCACTAGACCTCTATCTCTACTTTTAGCCAGCACCCTCCTTTTACTCACAGACAGCTCACAATTTAACACCGGTGTACTCATTGGCCTGGTTACTGGCTCATAAAATGGTACATTACTTTGAACACTTCTTATTGACTGATTTAATTGATTTGTCTGAGTCTCTTTGGCTTCAAGTGTTGAACTTGGTCTACTCCTAGTTTCTTCCGTTTTATCAATAATATTTTCTCTTCCAGCAACTTGCCGCGCACTTGCTACAATAATTTTTCTATCCTTTCTTGCATGTAGCAATGAATTGCCTTTCAAATACCTATCACTTAGCTCATCTACTTTAGAACTATCCTTTATATCTAATTTGTTATCCTTCTTGTCACTTACAATTTCATGTTTAGCTTCTAACCTTTCTTTAAGTATATGCATATCAAGCGAAGACAATCTACCATCCAATTCTTTCCCTCGGAACAAATCAGCACTTTGCACCTTTCTGTGCCTTTCATTTTCCAATTTCTTAGTCTTTGAGCTATCCCTTACCTTTACTTTTTCAGGATCAAATTTTTCATTAACTTGTTCTTGGTTTTCCTTCAATGAATCACTTCGTGAAATTATTACTTTTCTCTGACTAGATCTATACTCGCCATAGTATGCTTTCCTATCAGAAATCTCCCTATCTTTGTGCATTAAAGATCTTAATGCAGCTATTTTATCCGTAAAATCTAGACCACTTGGTAAAGGTGCCACTTCATCAACAACTTCATCATTTTCAAAATCCAGTCTTCGGCGAATTTCTCTTAAAGGCTTTTCATTATCTGACTCTTTTACAATTTTTTTTTCGTCCTGCGAATATTTAGTTCTGCCATTTTTTCTATGATCCGAGTCTTCACTAAGAAATTTATTACTCTTTATTTCACTTTTGCTTTTAAGATGATTTTTTTCAGATATTGGTTTCTTACTCTTCACTTCACTTTTGCTTTTCACTTTTTCATTTTCTTCATATGATGATTTCCTACTTTTCACTTCACTTTTGCTTTTCAAATTTTCATTATCTTCATATGTTGATTTCCTACATTTTACTTCACTTTTAGCTTTGCCTAAGTCAACTTCATCTGATATAGATACCTTTCTTAATTTGGTTTCGCTTTTACTTTTTCTAAGCTGTGCAACACTTAACTTCTCCGGATCAACCGAGTTTCTGCCGCTATAAGTGAACCTTTCTGTGCTAACGGTTTTAATTATTCCCTTCTCAAAAGCTGGCCGACTTTTGCTGACTGATCTGTCCGCATTTGAAGTGTTTGCTTTCAAACAATCACCCATGGGTCTATAAGCTCTTGCAGGGCTGACCAAAATTTTCTTATTTCTCACAGAGCGGCTTTCTTCGGCATTTTTCTTCTTTTCAACAGAAGATTTTCTAGTGTTTTCAAATTTAGAATAATCAAAGCCTAAAAGCTTTGAAACTTTTATAACTTCGTCCACAGAGTCTGCCATATCTTGAATCTATTTTATTGTATCCAAATAACAATAAATCTGCACATAACTCCGTTGACTGATCATTTTCTAAAGCGTATAAAAAATTTTATTATCTAACCAAACTCCATTTTTATTGATTCTTTAATCCAGTGTTTACAGCTTTAAAATGTTTATGTCTCTTCATTGTGCCAGGAAGCACACAGGCCATGGCCCTGCAAGAATAATAAAAGGAAAGAATCATACAGTTGCCAATACACATACAATAATCCAAGAGATAAAAAAAGACCAACAAAATTTGGATATCTCGCCTTGTTTGTAAAGATAATTAAAACATGGGTTATCAAAGGGTATTTTATTATAGATAAAAAAATATTGAACTTTTTATAACCCTTACAAATTTTTTATACTCTATAAAAAAAGGTTTTCTTATTCTATATTTTAAAAATAATTAATAAAGTAAGCTATTTTAAATAACAGATTTCATTTATTTAGATGCAATGAAAATTGAATTTTTATTTAAATACTCTTTCAACATAATTTTTGTGAGCATAATTGTCTTTTATTAAGTTAGATTGGTATCAAAGTGGACTGGAACAAATGATAAGAATGAGATGTGGATCATGGTTCAATCCCATACCACCTTAAAACAGTGCAGACCATGATCAGACGGCATTGAGTGCTGGAAAAACTTGGTCTGCACTGGTGGCATGGGTTGAATCAGTTCCGTCACCATAATTTTTTCCCCTTCTTTACCTACAGCTATAAAAAAAACAGAAAATACAAATTTACAATGACCACCATTGCCCCCAGTCTCCTAAACACTTTCTTGCCAACCCCTTCTTTATTTAATAATTTTATGATCAAAGTAATTAAGAGATTAAAATTTCAAACACTTATCAGCTTATAAATGATTAAATTATAATGAAGTGTGAATTTTAGGACGTTTAAAGACTTAAGCTGTCAATTTGGATTAACCATGTTTTCTTCTTAATGCACAATGTTTTGATCTAATGTCAAACTTTCTTAAGAGTACAAAAAGTCAAAAACTGTCTGCCATATAAAAAGGTAACAAGCACTTTGCTGTAAGAAGGTAACTTTAAACATGTAAGTACAAAAAAGTTTCAAACACAACCTGAAGGTGTAGCATTAGATTTCTAGTAAATTCTTTGTTATTCGAAAGACTTAGTGTTTTCAGGAAATGAGATTGTGAGCTGAGTTGATATTTGATAACTTATTTAATAATGGATTTTTTGGGGTTTTTTTACAACAAGCATGAAAGTTTTATTTCATATGCTGTAAGAAAATATTTGTATTTTTACTTTTTTGCAAAAAAAACCCCAAAAAACAAGCAGAAAAACCATGAATTTAAAATCTAACAAAATGTCCTTATTGACAAAACCACAAAATTTCATGCCAAATACACAATGTATGCATTATATGATATCAAGGCATCTGGCCTCAAGGTTATCAAATACTTTTCTGAGTTCAGTCTAAAATCTCAGGATTTTCATTGGTCAGTGTACCATCCTAAGCTGAGGTTTCTGACCAAGCAAATACTGGGTCCAAGCTAAGATATTTTCTCAGCTCAAATTGACTTCACAGGTATCTGATTGGTCGAAAACCGGCAATGAATAAACATTGACCAATGAAAATCCTGAGATTCAAGACTGTGCTTAAAACTGGCAGAGGAAAAACCACAGCATGCATTTCAGGCAATGAGCCTACACCTGAGCAGATCAAACAATCGATAATCCGTACCCCAGCTGCATTATAAGCTGTCTATATTGGGACTGCAGTCTTCTACATACAAGCCACTCTTATACAAAGGTCAAAGTTAATGTAGAATTATATATAATACACAAACTGACCCGGGATTTTTTTGACATTGTAATGCCAGTTAAGTCTAAAAGAAACTTCTATTGTTTACTTTCTAAACATATTATATACTTAATAAACATTCAATTTGGACTATGTAAACAGGGAATTATCTGACAAATAAGGGAATATTACCTCCTGTGAAGTGTGCCAATTGATTAGATGGTAGGAGTTACTTTAGTTTCGGCACATCTCAAGTATGATTAAAATAACACATTATCAAATTCAGTTCGGTCAATATTTTACTATTTCTTTTCTTCTTTAATCCCTTAATGTGTGAAATGGTAAATTAGTAAAATCCAAAACATAAACTTCAAATAAATCCATGTCCTGTTTCAAATAATTAATTATAAGATTTAATGTATTATTAACATGTTATTAATAACAATGCATTATTAAACTAAACAGCAACAGAAATTACTTTAAAATTGTTGTACATGTACATGTTTATGTAATTCTGACAATCATAAGTCTAGACTTTTCTAGATCAGTAATTCAGATGTTTTAGTTCTATTTTCCATTTATATAATTTTACTGACTTCCTCTAAATTTTCTTCTATTCTATCAAGTTAAAATTTAAGGATTTTTTTTAAGAAACTCCACTGGGAAAAAAAGGCCTAAAACATAAAATTTGAAAACCTTACAAGTAAAAGCGATGCACTAACCTGCTGGCCGAGCTCTATACAAGCTGGTAAAAAAGACTTAATGTTCTGAATTTTGTTTTAAGCATTTTAAGGGTTATAGACATGACGTAATTTGAAATTGAAAATTTAAAGTTAAAAGTCAGCCAACAGTGAAGAGACTGAGCCTGGAAACAGTGTCTATTCTAGGAGGGGTGATGGGGGGATTCACCCATATTTTTGAGAATTCACCCCTATTTTTTGAGAGGAAGGGGGAAAATTTTACATAGACAAAGAAGGAAAAAGATCAACAAATGTAATAAATTCTCGCTATTCGATAAAAATCCCTCCTGTTTTTAAAATCCTAGAATAGACACTCCTGGACAGATTGCATGGAGCTGCAGGCTGGCCTGAGACTTTATTTATACTGTTTGTAAAGAGTAATCACTTTCGATTTCAGTCATGTATAATCAAGAGTAAAAATCCATTTATGTCTGCAATCATATCAGTTGGTGTCCATTACTAATATAATCTTAATTTTATCTATCAAAGATTCAAGTATATATTTCAATTTCAAAAGAACTGCTACAAGTGACCATTATTCTAAAATCACATTCCTTACAAGTCAGGCTGATTATAAAATCATGCCAATTACACTGAAAACATCAAAGAGTTTTGACCATTTGCTTTAAACTCATTTTCCTTTCAATATGCTCACCTTTGGCTCATAAAGGATATAGTATCTTAGGATATACATTAAAAAATGTGTCTGTACAATAAAACACCATTACCAAGATTTTTCCATTAAGGTATTAAGTCACCTCTATCAAATGCTTATTATAAAGTATATTTTGAATATATTGAATATATATTGCCAATTTGACCACTTTCAGAATCTATAAATATCAAATTCGGTTTGTATTCATTCTTTTTGTGTGTGTCAATTTCATAGCCAGCATCATATATTAATCCAGAAAAGAAGTCTAAAGTTTATAGACTAATGCATTAATGGTTGTTAAATTTTCCAGCAATTTGCTTTCTGGGTATATCTACATATATAATTATATACAGTAGAACTTCAGTAAGTCAAAGTTGAAGGGACTTTCGTTAAAACTTCAACACATTGGGTCACTTAGACCCATGAATCGGTCTCAATTTAATGACAAAATTTCAAGCGGTTGATGTTTACAAGTTACAAAAGGTATATATTAGACAAACAAATTATATGTAATTAACCCTGACACTTTGCTTAATTAATGTGTGTAATGGATTAGTCCAGTTTTATATTTGGAACTGTCCATTCAAAGTTTAAGGGTTATTGGAGATTATATTTTTTTTTAGTATCTGAGGAATAAATATGACGAAAACTGACAACAATTATTGTCATAGCCAATTTTTGTAGCACTTCAAAACATTAATTAAAATTATTTAGGTCAGAGTAGAATTCTGTGCCAGTGCCAGTTAAAATCTTTATCTGTCATCTTTATAACTTATCAAAATAGTTGTTAGATACAATTGTTTTTGTTTTATCATTAGATTATCTGTTATTTTATTATACAAACATTGTACTGTTAAGTCGAATCCATATTGTTATTTGAAACAAAAGTATGTGTTACAGTGGCCATGAGTTTTAAAGACAGACCGATAAAAGTTTTGAAGTCAGCAGTTCTTAGTTTATATGTTATGTTGCTGAATCATTCCTATATACAGTTTTCTACTTTTTATTAAGTGTAATTATAATCGATGATATTTCGAAATCCGTAACAAATATCAACATGGGGGCATGGCCAAGCGGTTACCGCATTTGACTTAAATTTTCTAAGGATGGCTGACCGTGTGTTATCAAATGCAAACCACCTCAGGGGCAAGCTGTTGTTTCCGTTAGCAAGAAACTTTACACTCATTGCTGTAAGTACTGGTTAGTTCCAGGAATGGATTCAAGAGTGTTTCAATAAGCTAAATATAGCAACCAACACAATCAAACTAAAAATAAATTGGTATATTTAACTTAATGTAAGCAAACAATACACCGATATATCTATTATTGATTATAATCACTTGTCTACAATTAACTTTCATACCTTTTTGAATGATTTCAGTAAAATACATTATCATGTTCTGTTGATACAATCATGATGTGTCTTGTTTATAAAATTTAATGCCCATTACATGATTTTTTTTTTCCAGACTATTTTGGGTCATCACTGCAATGATTGTATTTTGCTCTTTCTTTTTTTTCTTTTTTTTTTTTTTAAATTTTCATGACCTGGATTTCACATTGGGGAGATATCCTCATAATTTGGCATGGCATCAATGTAATCAATAATTTCAAGATAATTGGTAAAACAATTTGTGGAGAAATTCAGATAAATAACAAATACATATAGTAATAATTATTGATTAACATTGTTGTTCTTATAGGTATGATACATTTTGCATATTATTCGAGACAATCTTTAACATAAATTAGTAGTTTAACATTAAAATCTGACAGTACCAAGTTAATTCAGGTTACCTATAAGACTGCAAGTAGCCAATATTTACTCAAAAAGATTGAAATACCTGTCATTTGTATAAATCAATCTCAACTTAGTTTGTAGCAATATGTTGCCATGGAAACAGATTATGAATTTTCTGAAATAATCAATACAGGAAAAAAATCACTGAGGAAACTGAGTTCAATAAAAGCTGATTAGTGTATTAAACACCACCTTAAACTCATATATAATACTTATAATTAGTGTGAAATCTTGTAACCATGGAAACAAAATAAACAATTAATTAATTAATGGTGACACTACAAGTAAATATTCTGATTATATAAATATTCAAAACCTCATGTAAGAGAATATCATAATATACATAATAATTAATTAGAGTAAATCCAATATTCTCTGTTGCGCTTTTTAGTCATTCCGAGACTAATGATGACATGTGACTTTTATTTTTAAACCAGATGTAGAGATTTGCCAATTGAAAAGCTTAGATTGCAACGCTAATTTCCCACGAAATTGGAAAAAATATATATTTCAAATGAATTGCTAAGATCAATGTAACACTGATTCTGTTTAAATGCAACTAACATTTAGATAAAAAAAAATTATCTATTCATGAAAATTTACTCTTTTTTTTGTGACATTCGACCAAACCTCTGTGGAGTTCCTTTAAATCTTAAAATTTATTTTTTAACAAAATTTGAGTTTTTAGAGAAGTGTGGTCACTTATTCTGAAATGTTTTTGTTTCTAATTTTATCATTTACGATTCTCACTTCCGAGTATGAAATTGAAAACCACCCTAGAATTCTGTATCATTATATGTACATTATGTTACCACTACCAAATCAATTTAAGAAACAAAGAATTGTAATTGAGCGAACATGTGTTCTCACACTATTCAATGGTTCCAATTTTCTGTCAGATGAATGCAAAAAACAAGTTCTAATATTAGTACTTTTCAAAAGATTACTTAATCTGACAAACTGAACCACTTTAAAGCATTATATATATACCAAAATCAATCCTGTCTCACAGCTGACATAATACACTATACCAATTTTTCTTTAGTTCAATTCATACCAGTACTAACAGCAGCGTTTTTTTTCTCTACTTTGGGAATGGTGCCGGTACCAGACTGATTGGGAAAAAAATGCGTTATTTTGACCTAAATTGGGAATTTTTTTATGCAATTTTTCAGCTACAAATAAGATTAGTCATCATGAATAAAGATAGCTAACAGCTTCCACTGTCCAAGTAGAACAATTGAGTGGTGATTTAAATGAATATGTTGGATTTAAATGATTTCAGAGAAATCACTTGGCCTTATGGGAATTTTAAACAGCCATTTTGGGAATTTAAACATTGGAAATTGGGACTTTTAATGTCTATTTTCTATTGGGAACAGTACCATTTTAGGGTAGTAGTTATATAAAGAAAAACAAGATTGCATTTGAGAAAAATGCTATGCCACCGCATTAATACCTAAGCTCTAGGCCTTTTGGGCATTTACAAGAAGGTATTTTAAGTTTTTGAAGCCTTGTACCTTGTACCTACAGACAATAAGATTTTTTTATTTTTTACTATATGTATATATTGAAAATCAATGACCCCCGGGGCGGGGGCAATTTGACCCCAGGGCTATAATTTGAACAATCTTGCTAGAGGTTCACTACACAATGTTTCATGCAAAATATCTAACCTCTAGCATTTGTCAATTGATAGAAGAAATTTGTTTAAAGTTTTTACTATATACATATAACGAAAACCAATGACCCCCGGGGCGGGGCCGATTTTGACCCCAGGGCTATAATTTGAACAATCTGGGTAGAGGTCTACAACACAATGCCTTATGCTCTAGGCCTTTTGGGTCTTTACAAGTAGGTATTTAAAGTTTTTTACTATATGTACATATAGTGAAAATCAATGACCCCCGGGGCGGGGCCGATTTTGACCCTAGGGCTATAATTTGAACAATCTTGGTAGAGGTCTACCAGGCAATGCCTTATGCAAAATATCTAAGCTCTAGGCTATTTGGGTCTTTACACAATAAGGTATTTTAAGTTTTTACTATATGTACATATAGTGAAAATCAATGACCCCGGGCAGGGCCGATTTTGACCCCAGGGCTATAATTTGAACAATCTTGGTAGAGGTCTACCAGACAATGCCTTATGCAAAATATCTAAGCTCTAGGCCTTTTGGGTCTTTACAAGAAGATTTTTTAAATTTATTCTTATAATTCCTTTTGGTTGCCATGGCAACCAGATTTCTGCATGGAATGAAATTCTTTGAACAACTTTGGAAGCCCTTCACCCAAGATCAATCCTGCTAAGTTTGGTTGAAATTGGACTATTGGTTTTCACAAGAAGACTTTTTACGTTCACTATATAATCTATATAACAATGACCCGGGGCGGGGCCTATTTTGACCCCAGGGCTATAATTTGAACAATGTTGGTAGAGGTCTACCAGACAATGCCTTATGCAAAATATCTAAGCTCTAGGCTATTTGGGTCTTTACAATAAGGTATTTTAAGTTTTTACTATATGTACATATAGTGAAAATCAATGACCCCGGGGCGGGCCGATTTTGACCCCAGGGCTATAATTTGAACAATCTTGGTAGAGGTCTACCAGACAATGCCTTATGCAAAATATCTAAGCTCTAGGCCTTTTGGGTCTTTACAAGAAGATTTTTTAAATTTGTTCTTATAATTCCTTTTGGTTGCCATGGTAACCAGATTTCTGCATGGAATGAAATTCTTTGAACAACTTTGGAAGCCCTTCACCCAAGGATCAATCCTGCCAAGTTTGGTTGAAATTGGACTACTGGTTTTTCACAAGAAGATTTTTTAAGTTCACTATATAATCTATATAACACACACACACACACACACACACACACACACACACACAAACAAACACACACACACACAGGTGAATCGCTATATGCCACCGCATCGCAGATGCTGCGGTGGCATAAAAACACTGAACAGTCCAAGATTTTTTTTTTAATTCAAATTTACACCAGTACTGACCCATTCTATACACAATTAGTCATTCTAGCTATTTGACTGTCAACAAGTCTACATAAATCACTATAATACATAAAGTTTTAACGGTTTACGATTTCCTCAAACTAATTTGTATCTATTTGTACTGAGCGCCGTTTTAATATTTTATTGACAAGCACAGAAAATTTAATTAAATCAATACAGTTAACAATTGCATTAGTGTTACGACAACACAATGCATTATCTACCAACAATAAAAATCTTTTTAAACACAGTAATTTCAATATTTATACTTAGGTTTCATCTTTCATTAACTCTCTATTGAGGAATTTGAGGGACTACTTTAAGGTAGCTCAGTGTTTCAAATCTTTGTTTACTTTAACCATTAACACTCATTGTGCTTGTGGATTTTCAGATCTTTATAAATAAACTGCAAATATTCATAGACTGTGGCCTGTTTTTTTCTCTCTCTATAATTTTAATGTATATTTTGTACTGTAAAGGATTTATTGTTCATGTATATACTACAAATAAGTGAACATTACCCACAAAGATTTGCCCCTAAGATTAGTAGTGGAGTCTAAATTCTGATAAATTTTTAGCCTCTCCTTGTGGGATAAAATCCTCCCAAATAACTAACCTCCCAACCCCACCCGATTGCTTTGATTGCTTCGGAGTAAAATAATCATCTTAGCACCTAAACAAGCTTCAGACCACCACTGTGAGTGATATGACCAATGGACATTTGATGCAGGTGCAAATTTACCGCTATGTATTTTGATGTTAACAATTTCTATTTCTTGGATTATAAATACAGAAACACTTTCATTATTACAAAAATTATCTAATTGCCTTGTAAAAAAAAAATTGTCTGGCAAGGTGTACAAATGAAGTAGATTTATATCTAAACAGATTAAAGTAAGAGATTGTCTAATGTAAATATACAATAAATATTAGAACTAAACTTGGATTATATACATGTATACAGTCTGTCTGTCAGAAAATATAATCTCATACATTAATTGACTAAATTACATTGTATTTCAATGCCATTCATCTAAAGTTGGTCAAGAGGTATAATTTTACAATTCTAGGTAAATATGCTATATCTATTTTTCATTCCATTTCCAAGATTAACTGTGTATTGTGCCAGCAAGTCAATCAAAGACATTAATGGATTATCCTAGAATAAGATTATCCTAAATTAAGATTATCCTGACCATAATCCAAACACAGTGGTCAAATTTAAATCCATACTTTACGACATCGTAAAAAATATATTTTAAGCAACCTTAAAGAGTCATTTACCAATTGACGTCAACAGAGAAATATTACAAATCCCTTTAAACTTCACACAAAATGGTTTAAATTCCAAAACACAGAAGACAAACTGCTACAAAAATTTAATTCTACAGTCACCTACTGATCAGAAATTTTTTACCTCCAGTTCAAAATACTATCCAATGTTCAATGAATTTTTCAAAATTCTGCTCTATTTTGCTGTCAATATGTTAGTAAGTCCAAAACAAAAGCCTAGTTCAATTTTTTTCATAACAAAATACCCGTCTCTCGAACACAACAATTTGTTAAATTATGCACTACATACTGATATGATCTTATTGACAAATTCAATGGGTTTTAGCGCCCTTATTATAAAAGAACTCCTTCACCGTAATATTAAGTATCGATATAGCTAAGTCTACCTGTCTTGACTTGAAAAAAGGGAAAATACACTGATATTAACCAATATTTGTCAACTTGTGTTTGAACGAAAGGTAGATTTTACGGGCATACTTCTGGATATAGGAATTGCTTAACGGTAGTGAAATCGAATTTCAGATAAGATAAAAGAATTTATGTATTTAATTTCGGACTGTCAATCGGCGACTAATCAAATATCTAACGGAGATTTATGATAAAATGAGACAGCAGTTTTATCAAAAGGAAAATTTAACATATTTTAATGACTCCTACATCAATTTAATACATTTAAATGCCTTGAAAATTAATTCATTTTTTGAATGGGGAAAAATAAATTAATGTCAGAATAATGTATAAATCTATTGCCAAAATAATGTGATTGATAAATCAACGATTTACAGGTTATAAAATGAATATTATCAGTATCATTTAACATTCATTTGTGTAACATTTTCTTAACCTGCTGAATTTGTGTTTTAAAAGAGGCAACATAGTTTATAGGCATGTCCAGTCTTCCCTATGAGCCTCTATAAAATATACAATGTACATAATATAAACATTTCCAAACAAAATGTATGATAAACAACAACAAAATTACAAATACAATGTAGTTAAGAAACATGTAAAATGAAAATCTAGAGCATAAACATTATATAAGAATGTAAACATTGCAATTCAGAATCAGATATGTATTTACCATTTTATAATACAACTTGATGTGTTTTATTCCCACCAGAGAGTAACCACCATTTCAGATAGTTATTTTTGAATGACTGTAAATTTATGGAATTTCTGATATCTAAGGGAAGAGACTTCCAAAGTTTTGACCCTGAATATGATAAAGATTCTCTGCAGAACTCAAGTCTAGGTTTTGAAGTTGTTTTTGTTGATATGATCTTAATTGTGTATTTTCTGTGTAAGTAAAAAGGTTTTGCATATAATCAGGGAGAAGATTGTCAAGGGACTTGTACACTAAAATAGCTTTTTTATAATTTACTCTTTCAGAAAATTTCATCTGCATTGCTTTGAAATTGGAACAGTCCATTCAAAGTTTAAGGAGAATTTTAATATCAAAACACAAAAATTGAGCTACCATTGAATAGTAAAGAGCATGGTATGTGGCTAACAGATAGAAGAGTTTTATGAATTGTACAGTATTAGGCTGGTAGCATTGAAATATCACTTTCCATCCCAGCACTTTGTCAAAGATTTAAATCTTTTCTAATTATTGTGAGTAATGGCCTGCTTGGAAATAATAATTGGATATTCCAATTGATGTAAATTTGGGGGATTCACAGAACCAAAAATACTAACATAAAGAAGCCTAAGGTCAAAAAAAATTTCTCTACAATCTCCTCAGAGCCAGATTGACATCAATCCAAATAATTCCTCTCAAATTAAAGTACCATTATTAAGTAATCCAGTGATAAAATTTTTTTAAACAAAATACATGTAACTCTCATTAAAGAAATTTTTGCTTTCCACCTATGGAAAATATTAATCTGGGTCAATAACAGGAAACATATAATACATATTGCACTTTATGATATCATGAGTTTAGCCTGAAATTTTGTAATCTTTTAAGCAGTCTACTGGATTATGAAATGCTAGCACTGCTCATGTTTGTAAACTACAAAATATGCAGTTGTGTAAATATGCAGTTGTGTAACCTGATTATGCTGATATAGCTGTTTTATAGTTTTTATTTTGTAGCTATTTCAAAGAAATTATATATCCTTTGTTCAGTTCTGAAATAAGCTTCAACTCTTTTAACAAAAAGTCTCAAAAAAAACAGGTATAACTAAAATTTACAGTGGACTAATATTTAATTACTTTCTGATAAATATCTTAGTCTAAATTCCAGAATTAACTGGACAATATTGAATAATATTACATGATTACTTCATAGTATATTTATAATATAAATATACTATGAAGTTATATGCAAATATTAATTGATATCTTCACAAGATACAACAGTTAAATCAAGCATACATACCTCTGAATTTAATTAAGAATAAAGATGGTCATCCTGAATTATCTGAGAACTCAAAGTTCAAATTTTTTAGCTTACTTTCTTTAAGTACAGGTATGTTGTTTTAGTGATGACTAAAACAAGAATGGGGAGTCCAGGTCAGGCCTAGTGGTTAAAGTGTCTGCCTCTCATCAACCCAGGGATCATGGGTTTGAGCAATAACTTGGGTCACAACCGTGTTTTCTTCTTATGACACCAGTACTGGTTGGTTCCAGGAAGCGAACTCGAAAGTGTTAAATAGAAGTTGCAAGAACTTGTTTTGCAATCCAGCTTAAATAAATATGTTTAAACTATTAAACTAAACAAGAATGCATAACTCTACATTTATTGATGTCACTTTTATAAATATTATTGTATTATAGATGATCATCATGCAATGTTAAAATCTAAATAAAGTATCTGTTCTGTTCTGTTCATGTATGATAACAGTTTATTACACGTAATTATATGTTTTCAACTGGACCACCTATTCAGTTCTAATTATATCGTCTATTAATCGGTTTTCGTCTATTAGTCGGTTTTCAATGTATTGATAAAATATTTTCCAGCCATGCCATTTATCACAAAACCAAAATGTCTAGGTACATTTATTTGTGCATGAACAAATTTTGATACATTATTTTATAGTAAGAACATATGTTTATCATGACAATGTTTGAAGTCAATGCTTTTATCAACAAAAGTGCAACAAACAATGCAATATATTACTACATCAAACAGGAGGTAACTGTGTAATCTGTACAAACTTTATAACGGTGGCCATAATAAAGTACCCGTGGCCATAATAAAGTACCGCAAGTAAATTGATACATTGTTACCACAAGCCAATGTCACCATAACTTTAACCACATCAAGACCAACCTGAACTGACAAAGCTATGTTTACTCATAGCTACCCTAATAAGAGTATGGTATGTAACACAATGCATTGTGCCCTTTTTTATCAGTTTTAGTTACATGACAGTGATTTTTTTTTACCTAAGCTCACCTTAGTGCTGAGCTTTCAAAGTAGGAGATTTTTACATGGTAGCCTTTGAAAATTGCGAAAACAGAACAATCTCTATTAAATATATATATATTTACACAGAGTTTTTCAATTTTATCTGAGGCAACAGATGTGCCAAGGAAAACAACAAATTTGGTCAAGAGGGATATTTTCATCTACAGTTTGAAAATACAACAGACTTAAACAGCATTTCAATCAATGACATGGATCGCAAATCTGTTAATAAGGAAAACCCTGTTTACTTTTGTTCAGTTGCATGGGAATTAGCGGTTGTCATGAAATTAAAAGTGCATGTTTTGCCTTAGAATTTTTTTCTTCTGGTGTCTGTATCTTAAAGACACTGAACAAACGTTAGTTACAAACATTAGTTTACAATATGATAATATCAATTCTCATAAATAAGCTTGTGGCCAATCAAATACATCATAACATGTTGCATCAAATGCAACTGTATAAATTTGACTCTATCTCATGCATTGAAAAAAATGTTGATGCAAGGGAAAGAATTATTTGAATACTTAATAGAGTAAGCTGCCTTATTTGGATTGTATTATATAGAAGTTTTGTAATGTATAGGATAGTGTTTATTAAAGCTACTTCACAAATCAATAAAATATGCCCTGTTATTATATGAATATCTTAAAAAGTCTTTAATAAATAGAGTACCATTATAGTTAATACCCTAATAAAACCTCATTTTTAAATACATTTTTAAGCCATTTTGTATGCAGGATGTAATATTTCTTCATTTCAAAATGTAGCAATGTGAATGATAATAAGCGGGGGGGGGGGGGGGAAACCTTTACTTATAATTTTTCAGAATCTAATCATCTAACATGAATCAGCACATGTCAACATTGGCCATAAACTTTGAACAAATGAGTAATGTACAAGTAGTACAGTACTTAACATAACTCAACTTGCTGAATAATTGTACATATATACGTGTAAAATAATTGTTGCCATTAAGTGTTATACTGTATGTGTGTTACCACAAGAAGGCCAGTCAGTGCCTATTAAATTAATGTAGTACATGTATTATTAAAATTGTTAATGTGAATGTTTTGCTACTGTCAGTATATTGATGACATATTCATACTGTACAGGGATTTTTCTATCTCCTCTATACCAGAATCTGTTTACAAATGTAGAATATTCTTTAACATCATGCAGTTCTTTTCATTACATCAAGTTATTTCTTCCCCTTTTAGAAAAAAATACTGTGTTATAATTATATTTCCTCTCAAAGTTAAGGAAGAACCGAAACTGAAAATTAGTGAACCTTCCATTTCTCTACCACACAGACCACATAGTTACATGCAATATGTAAAGCAAAAATTTCCCTTTCCAATGTTGTTTATAAAACCACAGAGTTAAATATACTCATAAGGGCTTTTGGACTACAATCAATCTAGTGTATAGAAATGGTTGCATTCTGGCAATGCAATACATGTAACATATGTATTCTAGGCTTTGGACTCTCATTAAGCTTAGAATACATACATACATTGCATTCTGATCACTAAACATCTTTGTTTTGTTTTTTTTAACATTCTATTCATGTTTAAAGCAGCATTCATCCTGATTCGTGCACATTTTCATGAAAATATTGAAAATATTTTTTTTAAGTTAATTAAAATTGTTATGGAGTGAAGAAGGAAAGTATTTAACTCATTCCAAATTTATGGCACTTAAAATCCATGTAAAATTGTAAATAATTACCAAAACAAAAAAAAAGGAGGTCATTATATGCAAAAAAAAGCCTTAATTTTACCAAAAAGAGGTCATAATATGCAAAAAATTCAAGTATTGCATCAGGCACTCTGTAAAAATGTGGTGATACTGCAAATTAAGTGGCTCATAACATGTAATTCATTATTCAAAACTTTCTAATTTTCCTAAAGTTTTAGTTCACTTTTCCTTAGTTTGATTTTCATGAAATATTTTGGCTCATCTAGAGTCATGCAGCTTTAATGCACTGTCAAATATGAGTTAAAAGTGGTGAGGAACAGTATATTCCTCTTACTGGGGTACACCCGACAATAAAAAAGTATTCTGTTTTATCATATTTATGTTATTATCATCATGAGGCTTTTAATGCCTAATGTGGAGAAGATGTCATGAACAGTTCAACTTTACCTAACGTTTCAAGATAGTAAATGTTGCCCTTTACCCAGAATAAAACCCTTTTAGACATTATGAACAAAGAAAACATCATATTCAAAAACACTCATGGTACGAAAAATTTTCTATCTATAAATAGTGACTGTCAAGCACTTGATGAACTAGGTAGGCCTACTTTCTTGTATCATCTAGGAATTTGATTGGTTGAAGAAGGTTAGTTGCTATGTCACAGATGATTTTAATTTACATTTATCTACATATCACTTCAAATCAATTGTGCCATTCTTTTAATTTGGTGTTTAAAATAGATTGCGGAATGCCTTAGCAAAATTGTGTTTTATGATTCAATAAAACTTAACTACTGCATCAACATGAATAAAATTAAAATAGAAATTTTCAAAAAATATTAGATTCTAAATAATCTTTAATCTGCTTTTGACAAAAGTTTTGTCGCATTTTAATCTAGCTAATTTTTGGCATATGGTAAATCAGAGCTATAAATTAGACACGTTTTCCGATCTCCAAGCGTCGATTTCATCTGTTTTTAGCATGCTCCGATACTGTAATATGACAAGCCCTGATAATTCGAGAAAACAGGGTTATAATCTGCTGTACAGTACTGTGCCTGTGGTGTGTGCTGTAATTGTAAATAATAAAATATGACATTTATGAAAATAGAAAAAGCCAACGCTACCTGTTTCTGTACCCTTAAACAATGCAAAAATCCGATAAAGTTGCATTTTGGTATGAGTCAGAAATACACAAACACTTGTATTTGAAGAAATAAAACTTCCCTGTCGTTGAGAGGGAAACACTCTATCGCGTTCATATCATTACAAATGGTGGTACATAAATAAAGGGAGGCTATTATTCTACTACCGATATTTTGTACGCAAACTTATGCCATGAAGATTTACCTCCCCTGCCACTAGGATTTTCACTTCGGGGTTGTCGAATCGTCTGAAATTCGAGAAAAACTTATATTTCTTTAGACCCAATCAGTTCTGGTTCTCTCGACTACAAAATAAATTTGAAAATACACACTTTCCTCAAAAACAAACGTTCAGTATTTACAAGATACAAGATACAAGAAACTTTATTTTAAGTCGGTTTACATATTACAAGAAACATTTAATTTAGCTAATAAGCTATTTACCGACTAGATCTACGACTTTTAAACACTCTAAACGTTCATGGAGACGTGAGCAGCATTTAAAATAGCGAACAGCTTTCATAGTGTTGCTAGTTTAACATTATGTTGACATCCGAGAAGCAGAACTTTAGTGATGCGAGCAGCACTTAGTGGACAACATTCATGATAGCATTGTCAGGAGAACTTAGTGAACGATGTCCAGTTTTGATATTCATGATGAGCACATAATGGACAACGTTCTAGATGATGTGTGCAGCAATTTGTGAATAGCGTTCATGTCAAACAAACAACACTTAGTGAACAACGTTCATGATGATGTGAATACTTAGCACTTTGTGAACAACTTTCATAAAAGTGTAAGCAGCACTCAGTGGACAACGTTCATTGGGATGTAAGTAACACTTATGCACAACGTTTAATGAAATGCAAACAGCACTAAGTGAACAATGTTCATGACATGAGTAGCGTCTTGTGAACAGCGCTCATTATGATGCTAGAAGCACGCAGTGAACAACTTTCATCCGGATATGAATAACAAATATTGAACATTATTTAATTTTACCCATGAAATATGGTGCTATATCAGTCAAATATATTTAATATTTTTTAAAAATAAATATGAAATATAAATATGAAAGTGGGCGGAGTCAAAACTCATATTTATTTTAAGGGACTTCTTTCGCCGTTTTGTTTGAAAAATCTGATGAATACAAAACAACTTTTTCTTGAATTTTGTTTTGAAAACTATTGAGCATGATAGAAAATGGTCTAACTAAGAAAATTAATCCGAACACTAATATCTTTAATTCAGTAATTAACGCTGTACAGACGTTTAAAGAGTTGTTTACATGACGTCACAATGTAGCGCCAAACAGCGCGTGCTTACGCATAAATTACTGCGCGCTTTACAATTGCAGTTGGTAGCAAGCAAGGGGATTCGTTACCATTTTCTTTGATAATGAAATTAAATAAAAAGGTTATTTTTTCGTTTTTCGTGAAATATGGTATATATTTTCACTCAACATGATAAAATGCCACATATTTTCACTCGCCGTACCGGCTCGTGAAAATATGTGGCATTTTATCATGTTTCGTGAAAATTTATTCCATATTTCACGCAAACGAAAATATATCCTCTTAATGTTCATGCACGGATTTATATTACATAATATTATATGAATCCGTGATTCATGGGATAAGTAAATAGCGTTCATAGGAATGCGAACAGCACTCTGTAGAAGATGTAAGTAGCACGTAGTTAACAACATTCATGATGACGTCAGCAGCGCTAAATGAATAAATTTCATAACGATGTGTATAAGGGTCATCGTTATATGAGCACCACTTAGTAAACAGCGTTCATGGTGATATAAACAGAATTTCGTATTAAAACGGTCCTGATGATTTTAGCTGCACTAAATGAATAATGTACCTGGTAATATTAAAAGCATTTAGTGGACAGCGTTCATGGTAAAATGAGCAGGCAGCACTAAGTGAACAACGTTCAAGGTAATGTGAGCTGCACTTAGTGAACAACCTTTATGTTAATGTAGTGAACATTGTTCATAGTAATATGCGCCGCACTCAATGAGCAAAGTTCATGGTAATTTTAGAAGCACTAAGTGAACAACGTTATGGTGATGTTTGCAGCATTAAGCTAACAACGTTCATAGTGTCGGAACAGCACTAAATGGACAACCTTCATTGTAATTTTTTAAAACAAATAAAACACACTAACTGAACATCGTTCATGATGATCAGCAACACATATGTCACGGTTCAGAACTGTTCACTATATGGGAGAAGATGTGTAAGCGGCCGGATAGCTCAGTCGGTAGAGCCGCGGTACGGTATTCCGAGGGTCCCGGGTTCGAGTCCGAGTCCCGGTCAGGCTGTACATTTTCTCACCCTGTGACATTTGACGTCCAACGGGGGACCGTGACTGATATAGCTCAGAGTTTAATTTACAATGCTCTGTAACTCTGTGAAATTCGAGGACGAATTTCAATATACCGCGGATCTACCGACTGAGCCATCCGGTCGCTTACACATAGATCTTCTCCCCTATATAGTGAACAGTTCTGAACCTTCACACATAAGATGGACTTTGTGAAAAAAAAACTTTAATGGTAATGTAAGCAGAACTATAAGTGAACACCGTCAATGGTAATGTGGACCGCACAAGGTGAAGAATGTTCATGGTTATTTTAGAAGCACCAAGTGAACAACGATTACGTTATGGTGATGTGAGCAGTGCTAAGTAAACAACGTACATGTTATAATACAGTCATGTTATAATATCCCTCTCGATATGAAAAAGGAAATAATTATACACATGATATTCTTTTTTTAAAATTTAAAAGCACGATATTACTCTGAAACGGACTTCACTAAGCTTTTTTAGACAGTACGAGACTGAATTGTTGATACCATTAGATGTACATATAGGTCTGCAAGTTCTGTTTGCTCACTCCAAGTTTCAAAGAATATTCCGTTTAATTGTGAAAAATTTAAAAAATGAAAAAGCTTTTAAACGCTTTATCACAAAACGGGCTAAAAATCGCACACAAAAAATCTGTGTATATTACTATATAACCATTTGCGTAATTTTCCGTTCTTGAAAATGCTTGATCTTTGTTAGAAATTTAAATATATTTGACCTCAGTGGATCTCCTTTAATACGACAATAGTTTTCGATTAGACTGCTTTATGACGGAATACGAAGAAACGTGCAGCTGGACCTCGTTTTGAATTTTGTTACACGGACAAAACTAACGCATTTTTTAACAATTAGGAAAGTTTTGCATCCGGACCAGGGTCACAATGATAAACCCGATTTTAAAAGGCCACATTATTCCACGCGACAAACACACGTTTTGGTACTGTAACGAGGGAAAAAGACGTAACATCCGGTGTTGTGGTTTCAATTAACATCAACAAAACACTCGAAAATTCTCTTGATGAAAATAGTAAAAAAATGTAACATGAAGTGTTTAATACAAATTATGTTAGCTGCCATTATTTGACCTAATTGTTTCCTATGCATTATATAAGACAAATACAATGTGCTAAGATTTGTTAAAGAAAAATGAACCACAAGTGTAGTATTTGAACTATTTTACCAATATTGAATGATATAATGGATTTTTGTAGACAGTTTGCGGGGATATTTATTTTTGTTTCTAGTAAGTTCTTTTTATTTTACTTCCTTTTTGTTTCCTTAAAACAACATTTTACATAGAAAATGACCATTTATGTATCTTGCACCGCTTTTATGTCTGTGTTTTAAGATGATGATGGCTATCAATTTACAAAAAGAAAAAAGTTACTCTTTATTGTTAATCAAGATCAATCGGTTAGAATGCGAGACTTGTAATCTCCCGATTTAATTATCGGACTAGCAAATTAAAATTACTATTCAGTCTTTCGAATGAAACTTTAAATCGAGGGCCCGTGTATGAGTGCTTAAACAGGTAAAGAGCCAAGGAAAGCTTCTGAAATAGAGGTATTTTATATTTATTTTGCACTATACTCCAAAAATCTTAAATGACTAATATTCTTTGGGAGGACTCGCCCGTGCAAGCAGCAGCAAGTATAAATAAACTCATAATACACAAACACAATTGTTAACTAATTACGCAAATCAGTATGCCCGTTACCTTTCTGGATAACCCAGTAATGCGCTTCAGAGCACCGAAGAAAGGTTTTGTAACAAATAATTCTGCCGTAGTAACGAAAGTGGAGCGGTGGCCTACTTGGTATGGTATTTGTCCCTCAACCCAGTACTTATTAGTTGGTTAGTTCCAGGAAGCGGACTCGAAAATGATTAATTGATATAAGCTACAAGAACGTGTTCCACAATCACACTTAAATAAATGACGAAAACACGGGGGAGGAAGTGTTACACGAAGGATGGAGTTCTTATGATAACTTGTTTGGAGTTCTTATGATAACTGTCACGGAGTTCCTGGAAAACGTTACGGATTTCTGTGGAAAACTTTTCTATATACCTGGAAAACTCGCGTAAAAAATGGTTATTTTTAACTTTAAATGGGGAGTTTGAGGTGCTAATTTAACTTTGATAATTAAGCTTGCCCTACATATTGTATTTTGTTTCAGAAAAAAAATCTTTTAATCCATACTTTGTCGCCTTTTTAAAAAAATCTGGTAGTTTTTGAGAAATATTACCAAATTACTTGCTAATTCGTACATATTGACCTTTTCATTTGTGATCTTCTTCGTTGCTATACTTAATTACTTAATTATTATAGAGAGTTGCAAACATAAGCCCGGCTAATAAATTTATACCAGATTTTTCAAATGTTACAGAGTTCTTGCGATAACTCAAAATATGTCCTGGAGTTCTTATGATAACTTTTGTTACTGCAGTGTGTTTTTGTGCTTAATCACGGCACGTTTAAGCGTATTTTATAAGTCAATAAGTGTAAATCATTATGAAGCATAGTACGCTTTATCATTTGCACAAAAATTTGGTTTATATAACGTTGGTTTTGATCGTGTTTTCCAGTTCAAGAGATATTTTTCTTACTTCTGTTTCTTGTGTTTTTTGTGTTTGTTTTGGTCTTTTGTGTGTTTGTTTTTATTTTTTTTTATTTTTTGGAATGACTGTAAACATACTTGATGTAGAGCATTTACTTACAGGATAAAAATACGCTTTGAATTTAATAGCATGATTTCGTCATATATACATTATTCCTGACAGTTTTAGAGAACATTAAGTAAACTATGCTATCGGTATATATGCATGTAAATGGTTTTCAGCAAAATAGGAGGTAGTATGCACCACCCTTCTAAATGTAATGAGGTGGGTGTCGTCTTTATGTATTCAACGGGTATATTCAATTTCAATTTCTAAAAGGTATCAGTTTTTGTCATAGAAACGTATAATGTTCTATGACAATGATATGACGATAGAAAGTAAGTCTTCAATAAGATAAGTGAGTCACCGTAAGTTTCATGCCGTTTTATCGACCTTGTTCCTTTCTCTATAAAATCCAATGTAGCATCACGTGACGTACAGCAATTTCCATATTTTGAAAAATTACTGCATACATTTTTTCTTATCAAAGTTGGAGTCCTAGTGGCAATTTTGCAACAACTTTTGCTGTAATTGATTAAAAGAATATATTGTCGAACTTCTTTCGCTCGAACCCGTAGGGCACGTGCAAATCTGTCGAAGAGATCGGTAGTAATCGGTTGATTTTTTTATGCATAAAAAGATCATACATTTCGGGTGCATGGGTGTGAAGGATATCCCGGTTATATACGATACATGGTACATAATGATACAATTTACTTAGCCGCTTCTTGAGGGAAGCCCTGTTGGACCGTATTTGGTACAAAAACGAATATGGTACAAATGTACCATATTCGGACCGAATATGGTACAATTTTCGACCGAATATGGTACAAACATTGTACCATATTCGGTTGGAAATAAGTTTTTCTATGCTCGCCAAAACGTATTTGGTACATACCAAAAAAAACTCATAAAATGAAAAATGGCCTACGTATATGGTACATAAATTATGTATTTCTTAATAAATGAAATAGTCTGCCGATGTGTAAACTTTTTTTCAAACTCAAATACATTGTATTAACCTAATATTGGAAGTGACAAAAGTATCATCATCATCATCATCATCATCATCATCATCGTCGTCGTCGTCGTCGTAACTAGCAGTAACAGAAACAGCTAACCTAACCACACTTTACATGGATTTTGCTGGTTGTGTAACTGTTTCGCAGGCTAGCTCAGTCGGTTGCGCGTCAGATTGGCACGCAGGCGGCCTGGGTTCGATTCCCGGGCGGGCCAGATACTTTCGTGGAGATTGGTCACGAAATGATTTCTACGGCCATTCTTCCCTACCGCTGTTTCAAGTAGGGCAGTTGTCAATTACTGGCGAATGTATCTGCTTAGTACTGGTTACTAAGTACTAGTACTCTAAGACTAGAGACGTGCTTGCTCCAGGTAACTCTGTAAAAGTTTGAGGATTATCGCATTTTGGTTATGTTCATAGAGTGTGAACTTGTAAGGGTAAAGGTAGGCGAGCAAATCCATGAAGCGCGCCAGCGCTTCTTGGAAAATTTGATCGTTTAATACCCCTCGGTATTAATGCTTATATTTTAATACATTTTAATAATAATTGGTAGGTTTTGTCCAGATATGATTGCTTTAAGCAAACGTCGTTGCAGGAATGGGCAAACGCATGGCTGCGTTTGCGTGTTAGTGGAATCGGTTGGTATGATATCATAGATGTCATGTACAGACATTACAGGTGAAATATACATGTATATCGGTGTTTGGAAACCTGTTATGTTATTTTTGTGATTGATGATTATGTTCTTATACCGGAAATTTGTTGTCATTTGCTCATTTAATGGTAACTTTTTACGAAGCACATTTGGGATATTTTTGGCTGCTACTAAAATGAATGTATATATGTATATTATGTCTGGTCAAATTGCTACAGTTGGATTAAAATTTTAAATGCTGTTCTATGTTCTTCAATATCACTTTGAAAAATCCTGTCAGTATACCAATAAAGTTTGTTGAATCTCTTGAATGAAACAAATTATAAAATACAAAATGTAAAATGAATATGTGATGATGATGATGACAAAACATTTGTGATGATGATGATGGTAAAAAATTGTGATGATGATGGTGGTGGTGATGATGATGACAGTGGTTATGATGATTGGGGTTTGATGATTGTGGTGATGATGATGATGATAATGATGATGATGATGATAACAAACGTTTTCGGATGATGATGACAGCGATGTTTATCGGACGATGATGATGGTTATAATGATGATGATAAGATTTTAGATGATGATGACGGCGATGTTTATCGGCCCGACGATGATGATAATGATGATGATGATAACAAATATTTTGTGATGATGATGATGGCGATGTTTATTGGCCGATGATGATGATGATATTCTCATCGTCGTCATCATCATCACAACATCCTCATTATCGACCGAAAAACATCGCTGTCATTATCATCACAAAAAAACTTTTGTGATCACCATTACGATCATGATAATGGATATGATGATGTTGGTTTTGATGGTGATGATGATGGTGGTGTTGGTGAGATAACAACGATGATGATCATTGGGGTGTGATAATTGATGTGATGATGATGATGATGATGATGATGATGATAAAAACGTATTTTGATGATTATGACAGTGATGTTTATCGGTCGATGATGATTATTATAATGATGATGATTATGATGACAAATGTGTTTTTGATGATGCTGACGGCGATTTTTATCGGTAGATTATGATGATGATGATGTGCTGACCGTCGTTATCATCATTACAAAACTTTTGTCATCATCATCACCATCGACCGAAAAACATCACCAGTTATCATCATCACATTTTTGTGATCTTCATTACGATGATGATAATGGTGATGATGATGATGGTGTTGATGATGATGATGATCTTGATGATTGTGGTGATAATGATGGTGATGATGATGACAATGATGATAAAAGTTTGTGATGATGATGATGATGACGGTAATTTTGATCGTCGTCATCATCATCAAAAACTTTTGTCATCATCATGACGATGATGATGATAATGACGTTAATGGTGACGATTGATGATGATGGTGTTAATGGTGACGATGATGATGTAATTGATGATGATGACAATGGTGATGATGATTGGGGTTTGATGATTGTGATGATGATAACTGCGATGTTTATCGCCGATGATAATGATTATAATGATGATGATGATGAAAAAAGTTTTTTTTATTATGTTGACGCCAATGATTACCGGCCGCACCGATGATGATGATTATGATGATGATGATGATGCTGATGATGATGATGATGATGACGATGATGATTATTTTTCATGATGGTATTGATGACGTTGATGCAAATTGTAGTTATGATGATGAAGATGATGATGATGATGTTGATGATGATGACGATGATGATGATGATGATGATGATGATGATGATGATGTTGATGATGATGATGATGATGATGATGATGATGATGATGATGATGATGAGATGACGATGATGATTATTTTCATGATGGTATTGATGACGTTTGATGCAAATTGTAGTTATGATGATGATGATGATGATGATGATGGTGATGATGATGATGATGATGATGATGATGATGATGATGGTGATGATGATGAGATAACGATGATGATGATGATGATGATGACGATGATGAGTGTGTACCATATTCGGAACGAATGTGGTACATTTTTCATCCGAATATGGTACAAGTTTGTACCATATTTGGTCAGGCATTTTACCCCAAAACTGCAGATACGTATATGGTACAATTAGACAGTTGTACCATATTCGGCCGAATATGGTACAAATTTGTACCATATTTCGTTTTTGTACCAAATACGGTCCGACAAAGCCCAACTACTTATTGTCTGCTTTAGAAAGGCGGTTGCTCAAAAACATGTAAACTGAGAAAAAAGTGTAAGTTTTAAACAATTTTTCCTTGGAGGTTTCAGCCATGTTACTGCTGAATACAGGTGACCGCTGATTCAGGTTTTCCTGAAAATTTTGTTTGCTTGTTTGTTTCATTTTACGCCTTTTCCCAACAGTATTTCAGTCATATGGGCGGAAAGTTTCCTAACCATCGTTCCTGGAGAAGTTACACCAGTACTAGACTACCTTCCTCCGTTCTAAACTACCAAATCATCTCCCGGGGATCGAACCCACGCCAGAGAGGTAACTACATGTATTAGAAGTCATCGACTCAAACCCCTCGACCACGGAGGTGGTCGTTCCTGAAGATAGCTTAGCACCTGTTTATCCTTTGTAGACTGTACACCAAAGCAGTTTCATGTCTTCTCCAGATATATTGAATGATCGTGTTTTTAATTTTGCCACATGGCCTCAATGTTGCATTTGCGGAAACTTATGACATAAAATTTTTGTTGACAAACAGTATACACAGAAACATTTAGTGCATTCGTTGGGTTTTATAATGTCAATATGATTTCGCACAAATTTAATTAGGAACTAAAACACGATCAAAACCAACGTTATATAACCATTTTTGTGCAAATGATAAGCGTACTATGCTTCATAATGATTTACACACTTATTGACTAATAGAATACGCTTAAACGTGCCGTAATTAAGCACAAGAAACACACTGGCAGTAACAAAAGTTATCATAAGAACTTCAGGACATATTTTGAGTTATCACAAGAACTCCGTAACATTTGAAAAAATCGCGGTATACATTTATTCGCCCGGGCTTTATGTTTGCAACTCTCCGCTATAAATTAGGTGATTATGTATAGCAACGAAGAAGATCACAAATGAAAACGTCAATATGTACGAATAAGCAAGTAATTTGGAAATTTTTCTCAAAACTACCAGAGATTTTTTTTAAACGGCGACGAAAATTTGGACTAAAAGATTTTTTCTGAAAACATAATACAATATGTAGGGCAAGCTTAATTATCAAAGTTAAATTTAGCACCTCAAACTCCCCATTTAAAGTTAAAAATAATCATTTTTTACGCGAGTTCTCCAAGTATATAGAAAAGTTTTCCACAGAAATCCGTAACGTTCTCCAGGAACTCCGTGACAGTTATCATAAGAACTCCAAACAAGTTATCATAAGAACTCCATCCTTCGTGTAACACTTCCTCCCCCGTGAAACATAAATAACTGAAAATTGCAAACTGAGTTGAATAACGAGAAACTGGCACATGCAACACATCTTGCAGGTACCCTTGCACCAGCGTTAGCGGTATTCAATTGAAACAATGATACGAGAGACCAGAAAAAGCATGACAACACCGCGTAGCAAAGTCTAGGAAAACAAAATTAAAATAGTATAAGAAATAGGGTCAATGACTTAAGTGTGTTTTTATTTATTTCAATTATATTCAATTATTTAATATCCTTTTTTTACCGATTATATATTGAATTCATGTCAACACACCAGCTTTAAAACAATTTTTCTACTAGTTTTAAGCACAATACTTTCTGTATAGTTACAAACAGACAAAATTAACGTCGTTATGTTGTATTACATCAATAGAAAATGACATTTCTATGACAAGCTTTAGCCTAGTCACGTGGTCAGTAACGAACTTGGACATTGATATTTGCCAGATAAAGGCATTTACACTAATTTCTATAAACATGTCAAGATACTAAATTGGAAATTTTGCAGAACTGGTGTCGTCTAACCTCATAGGAATTAATACAGTCCGCTGAAGTTTTCAAGAACAAACCGCAATCGAAACCTCTCACCGATCATTCATAAACACCGACAAATAACGGAAAATGAAAAAAAAGTGCACTTTTGTGGATACACACGAGGGTGAATCGCCTATCAGTCATATTACTTAACGTAATTTATAAGAGACCACTCATTAAAATGACTTGTTACAAATAATGTGAATCTGACACTATTTAAGTGGAAATAGCGAAAAAAAGCGCACGTGATATCGGTCAAGTGTCGTCTGCTAAATATACTTGGTCGCTAGGATATCAAGAGAATAAAATTTCCCACAAAGAACCATGTTAATTGCGTTTTTGTTTTATGAAAATACAAATAATAGTAAATCGATTTCCTTTTTTTCTTCCTGTTCGGTAATTTAGAACAAACATAAATGTAATGCAATAATAGTGAAAATTTAGGCTTAAGTACTTAAAGTACTTATTGATGTATATACAAATGTACTTCGTTTCTGAAAATTAATACTTAATCTTTATGAAAACCGTGAGTTTTTAAGTACAGTACATGATAAAAGTTTTATGTGCGTGTCATTTTGATTTCAAATGCGTGACAAACTTTTCAAGTGCGTGGCAAACGTTTCATTTTCTTACGAATGTTCATACGTTTTTACTTTGTGTGTTTGAAATGACACCCAAAGACAAATGATAATGTTTGTTGGTACAAAGTTTTTGAACGCCCTCACGATTAATTTCCAAAGAAAATGACAAATAAACACGCGTTGAAATTAAAATCAAACAAGTGCCATTCAATACTGAAAACTTGTACATTAAAAATTGTTATATTGTTATGCGTATCGCCCGGCATGTCTTCAGGGGATGTTATTCAATAAATGAACATATTTTTCCAGTTATTCTTCGTGTGAATGGATGGCGGTGCGAGACATTGGAATGCATTACCTATCCACAATCACTTAGGCTATGGAGACATCTTATTGAAGTTTCATCCAAATCGTTCACTGTAAAGGCCGGCTCACCGTTTAGTATAACATGTGACGGCTCTTGCGTCGGCAGTCACGCGGACCCTCACCTCAGATGGTATGGGCCCGACAAATACTGGATATCATATGAGGGACGAGGGAACAGGTATAAGCTAAACATTGCATCCAAAATACTTCGCTGATGACCCATGATAGACCTTTATCAAAGTATGACAGGTCCGACAGTTGCGAGTGCCATAAATATTGACAATCTGAGAATATGTATTACTTCTGGTGGCTGATTTGTAACAAGTCTAATTTTCGCTCCGTCGGGCGCCAGACGAAAAGTACGATATTTAGTCGTATGTTCGTGCTTTCGTAATTTCGCCTGGCGCCCCGCGGAATGAAATGCGAAAGAACGCAATTACGACCAAGAGATTACTTTGTCGTATTTTTGTGTTTTTCTCTAGTGCCTGGCGGAGCAAAAATACGACATGGCATAAATCAGCAACCATAATTACTAAATACTGATGGTACAGTTTTGATTTTCCTGAACAAATATACGGTACCAGCTGCTATAAAGTTTGACAATTTATAATTTCGTTCAAATACATTTTGATTTCGATATGGATTATCAAACTCATGAATTTATATTATAAATGTATACACTTATAAAGCTCATTTCAAAATTCGACAAATAGAAATGTTTCGTTTTAATTTTACACAATCTATTGCAAACGTTAACATTGTGTCATTTTATCGTTAAAATGAATCTTTCTTTTTATTTCATTTTAAGAATACATGTAGAAAAATCGTTTTCCCGCCGTTTTCAAAAACTTCAGTTCCGGAAAGTGACGGCCAGTGACCAGGGTTTATATGTGTGTCGAGGTTGGCTGGGAGAAAAGCATGGATGGGATATGAAGTCATTCAAGCTTATTGTAGGTAAGTAGTTAATTATAACAAATTGATATATTTTAACTCTGATATTGCTGAGAGTGGCCACGGTGTAGTATTTGCAAGCAGGTAGGTATCGGTACCAAAAATAAGACGCCGAGAACATTACCTTCTTGCCAGATACAAAGTTATTTGATAGCCATTATTTTTTATTTAATTTTGAGAAAAATATAAAGAAAAAAGATAATATAGTACAAAACACAAACACACAAGATTTGCCATTATTTCATGCAGGCATAACTTGCCAATGACTCTTGCATGTTCACGATTTTTTGTTATTAATAACACGCCGAGTACATTAGCTTCTTGCAAGGTACAAAAATGTTAAACAGTCATTCAATTTTTTGTTTATTTTGAGAAATCAAACTTTAAGCACACGAGATCTTTCATTGTTTTATTTGCAAATGACTCCCGTAGGTTCACGACATTAATTATTTTCTACTTAAGGCAAATAAGAAGCAAGCAGTAAAGATAGCGCTTTTTTAATCTTCTTAAAACAAGCTCTTAATTCGCAAGTAGGTCTGAACTTAAGTAAGAAGTTTGGCGTATTAGTTTTTCTCCTAATTGTCAAAACCATCATGCAGTTGCACTAAGAAGGAATGCTTCTGAAAATAATTTTCTAGTGCCAGAAAACATTTGATGGTTAATAGTTACTTATTTAACCCTGCTCGTGCTGGTGCCGAAGACGATAAAATTTACCGCTAGTAATAAAGGACCAATCAACTATGCTGTCTTTCCAGTCATTGTTCTGTTACTAAATTTTCATTGTAGTTTCCTTGCACTGTGTAACGAACAGTTCCAAGAAGGAATTTGGCCAATGGTAATGATAACTAGCAGATTACGAATTTTTATTATATGTGTGTTTTCTTGTACGAGGAATTATAGATAAAACATCATTCGATGATTAGATTACAAGTGTGTGATCTATTAGGCAAATAAAAAATGTACCGCAAAAATAAAAAACAAAAAAGAAGACGATAGGCTTGCCTTCTCTGACACAGAAATCAAATAAATGTCCAAAATAGGACACTAACTACATGTACTACTTTTAACTATTTTTGAATTGATTAAGAGATTTACTTTTTAGACTTATTTTGTTATATCAAGCAGCTCATCTGTGTTATGCTCTTGTTATATCGGATAATTTGCGGATTGTACAATTTCCACTGATTTCTCAATCAGATAGCCCGACTTCTCCCAAGGTGACAACAAAATCTACGAAAACAACAATAAATAGAATTCTATCAACAACAAAAGCGCCAAGAACAACACAAAAATTAACAACAAGACTTCAAACGACACAAGCAACAACAAGAAAGACAGAAAGAGTAACTTCAAGGCCACGCCCATCAACAACTCTGCAAATAATGACGCAAACAAATGCGACAGTAGAAAACATTACGAATACAACGGAAAATACAACAGATGGTAGGTTTAAACCTTAGATATTTTAATAGACCCTTTCATTTCTTCCCTTACCATGAAAACCATGACAACATGTTTTTATGTCAAGGGAAACAGATATACACTGTACAGACCGTGTAGAATAATAACTTATTTAAAGTTAAATGCGTAAATACGTTCAATTATGATTATAGCACCAGAAAATTGACCTATGCATACATAAATTTCATATCAAGACAATAAAAAAATATACAAAGATTAAGATTAATTCTTGCTACGGGGCAAAACAGCGACATTTAAAAGTGAATATATCTAGATCTATAAGATTTTCTATAATGCCAGGGCAATAAAACAACCATCTAAATCATACTGAGTTGCAAAAGAAAGTGTGCACTTAGGTACAGGGAAATTTTGCATACTTACTTAACCAAAGAGTATAAAAAAAAAATAAATAAAAATGGCGTATTTAGTATTAAAGATATAAATATTGTCTGCGTTCATTTCATCTGTTCGAGACTGCATAAGCCTGATGTAACTCCATATGAACTTGTGTTTGAAAAACAACAACAACAATAACAACAACAAAAACTCGCAATTACTAAAGGCACAAATCTGCAACATATAATTTTTATCCTTCAGCTGTTTACACCTAACCGATTCAAATTTCAGTTTAATGTAAACAATCGTGTAGTCAACACATTTCTGCAAATTTTGATACCCGAGTTTGCTAGGTATACAAAATTTCACAGTTACCAAGTTGCACACTTTCTTTAGCAACTAAGAACATATTTTAAATTTATTGTTTCATTTTATTCTGTACCAGTTATTAAATTTCAAAAATGTAATTTTACAGACGACTGTTACCCGCCCAAATTTAGATGTGACAGTGGGGAGTGTTTTGAGCAGAGATACGTTTGCGACTCTTACCCGGACTGTTTAGACGCAAGTGACGAGAAATTATGCGGTAACATTGTTTTAATTTAAAATTTGGGGACTTTTTGTCATCGTGGTGTGTGTGCGTGTTGTGTGCGTGTGTGAAATTTTGACGCAGCATCACAAATGTATTGATGCCAGTAGTGTTACATCTATTTATTTGATACTATATCTTTTATTTCATATTCAGTTGTAAAGTAGCTTTTATCGTCGCTTGAAAAACGTTTTGTTTTAAGTGCCAATTTGTTGTTTTTGAGAAAAAAGCATGCAAAGATTTAGTATTGCATAACTTTTTTATTTATTGTCGGATTTTGAAAATTTAAAAAACTACTAAACGTAACGTCGGGAGAACATCTCAATATCGTTAAAGATATGTGGATTTAAATATTTCCTTGCTTAAAAACCTAAAAAAACATTTGGAGATAGAACAGTCCTTGTAACTTATTTTCAAAAATTGTTAAAATCAGGGTGTTCAATGTGACTTAGAACATTATGTCTTTTACGTTAAATTGATTTGTCCTGCTATCACGTGATTTTATGCTATGTTTTTATACGATAATTTTGGATTTAGAACAGTATGTTGCATATATCCCACAGGTCACGTGACATTTATCGATGATATGATTAGTCCAGTAAGTTAGAACAGTCTATTTATCAAGACATACTAAATTTGTGGAGATTGAACAGGATGGTTTCGTTGTAATTCATTTATGAAGCTCTGAAGTACTAATATAACATGCCAAGGAGATAGCACAGTCCATTGCAGACGAAATTGTGTATTTGACTTGTTTTTGGAAAATTTGGAGATATAACATTACAGTTTTCAAGCGACGTTATGTGCATTTTATTCTGACTTAATTCAAAATCAAGATATGTAAAATATTACAGGAACTCACTACCAGGTCCTTTTTAATATGGAATTCAAAAAAGTTATTTTAATCAGTAATTTTAACTAGGATGTGGCACTTGCAATTCACAAAATGTACACAATTAACAATGAATAAGCCTTTTCTTGGATAATATCACGATTGTAATATGTACATGGGAAATAGTAATAATAGCCATATTTTGTATAAAATTTACTAAGATTCTCTTTAATCGTAAATCATGTTTATATTTCTTAAACTCTTGATACATTGTTTTAAAAATATAACCAATCACTATCGTTTTATGGCAACCTTTAGTATTCGATTAAAGAGCACATCTTGCACTTTAGGTCAGTTTTACGAAATGTCTCACAGAAATTTTGAAACAATATAGGGTCAGAATACACAATCATTATACATGTAATACTTTTTCAAAATGTTATTTGATTTTCTTTTTAGTGACTCAAACTTGTACAGAGGACATGCAAGGATGTGACGACGGTGATGGTTGCGTGTTAAAGTCTCAAATCTGTGATGGTATTGCAAATTGTAGAGACCAGTCGGACGAGGCTCCAGATTTGTGCAACTATTTACATCTTTAGAACAAGATATGCAAGTCAATTCTGCAAAGCAAAACATCACGGACTTTCGCAAAATATGTGTATTATTAACACGTATTTAGCTTTTAACAATGCAATTTATACTCAGCCATGTGCCATAGCTAGACAACCATGACAATTTATTTATGCTTTTATTTCATGGGAAACATAATATATTCTCGGTTTTATATGATATATAGAGTTTAAAGATATTTTTTACGTTTTTACATATGCTTTATCAAAGCGCAAATTAATGGGTTATTGACTTACTGAAACCAAACTATTGCAATGATTTCTTTTAGGTTTATTTACAGAATTTATTTGACTTCGATTGTGTACAAATCTTTAAGCTTATATACACAAGAATAAGTTTATTGACTCAACCAGTACCAACAAATGAGAATAATCAAACGAGAATAAAGGGTTTTGCTCAAAGAAACAGAAAAGTATATTTTGATTATATGTGATTTAAATGCTCTCTTTGTGTAATTTTGTTATTTAAATGCTCTCTTTGTGTAATTTTGTTTTTGCTTAAGCTCTAATGACTGGTCTTAAAAGCATTGAAACCAAATCATTGCAAAGAATTCGTTTAGTTTGATTGTGAATTGAACATTTGATTGCTGTTTTGCAGATGTCTTAGATGTTTGGTGCAATTTGTTAATCACCATTGCCTAATTGAAACTGAACATTGCTTATATAGTTTGTATAAATGTAAATTTGTAAATAATAATAAAAAAGATTATCAATATTTTATTTTTCTTTCTTTCTTAAACATAAAAAAAGGACAGTGGTACACATTATGAAAAGCAAATCAAAATCGCTCACCACCTGTGTTAATTAAAACATATATTTATTATCATTTTATCTTAAAATTATTCCCATTGTATTTGATATATTAATTTTCTGTCAGACTAGAACGAGATGCAAATTTAATTATTTGCTGGCATCTATCCATTATTAAAAATCTTTGTTTATCAGACTTAACAATTTTCACAAAACCATTTTGTTTATCAGACTTAACAATTTTCACAAAACCATTTCGTTAAGCAGTGTACCCCCCCCCCACACACACACAAAAACTCGCATTAAATGCACAATAAAGAAACTTTATTGCCCTCTGATCATGGGCCTGTCAATATTTACTTTGAAAATTTTCTCTACAAATGATGCAATGAACGGTTTTAAAACCACTGAATATATTAACTGTGCCACGACAAAACCAACACAGTGCGTTTGCGACCAGCATGGATCCAGACCAGCCTGCGCAGTCTGATCAGGATCCATGCTGCTATCGATTTCTTTACTTGTTATAGAGGTGGTAAGCGAACAGCATGGATCCTGATCAGACTGCGCGGATGCGCAGGCTGGTCTGGATCCATGCTGGTCGCAAACGCACTATGTTGGTTTTGTCGTGACACGGCTCATATTTAGCGTGCTGGGGGTCACGAAAGCATTTGTCTAACAAGTAAATTACATTCTACGTAACGTACTTCATATACATGTAAAATTGTCGACTGTCTTGGTTTTACATTAAACTTATGGAAGAAATTTATTAAATTTATCTACTTGTATATGATATTATAACATGCAACATAAATCGTTTGCCGTATTTTCCAGATATTTGTTAGACAAACAAATGACTACCCTTCGGTATAATTAGATATATCAGTATCTCTGACCACGTAGAGAAATTATAAAGATAAATCGTTTTGACGCCGTGTTTTGACAGTAGATATAAATAGATAGATTTTTGATCTTTTTACGACATCAATTCGCAACAGAGATGTCAGCTTTTGTCTCTTTAGTAAGCTGACAAAACCTATACATACTTAATCAGAATACTTAACAAGTAGCACAGTCATAAAATCTTATACATAACTACACAAAAAAAAGAAAGAAAGAGGGAAAGAAGGAAGGAAAGAAAGTAAAATCCTGAACAAGAAAGTAAGAAAAAAATGGAAAGAAAAGAAAGAAAAATGAGAAAAAATAAGACCATTTATGTATAAGATAGCAAGTAAGAAATATTTAATTTTAAGGAAAGTGTAAACGAGAAACCACCGTGGAATCATGCCAAATTCATTTAAACTGTTGATCTTTTCTGGTACGATTGGTTTGTACTTTTCAACTACAACGAGCACAATTCTAGCAAAATTAGCTGTCACAGATCATATATACGAATACATGATTAATTGCAGCTTTTGTCTATATGGACATAGAAGATAAATGGCTTTAGGATGGGCAAGATTAGCTTATTAAGATAGCGTGAGAAATCAATGACTACGGAAGTTGACTGGAAATCATTTGTTCCGTATATAGATCATTGAAATATATCATATTGATCATACAAATATATCATATATAGATCATACAAATAAGAAATCAGACTAGGATGTAGAAATTGTCAGAATTCCTATGTATTATACTGTACAAATATTTACAGATCAATTAAGTTGTAGCGGTTTTGTTTTCTTAGCTTCTAAACTGGCTACTAGAGTGCGATACCGCACACTTGTGTTTCGTTGTCTCATGTATTTATTGAAATTTTATGCGATTACAGGCCTTATACGCCTCAGGAATGCTTTTTTTTATACATTTATCAAATGCTTTTAATTTTGATGGACTTTATAGTATCCAGAAGGTTACTCATTGGCCAAGTACATGAACAATCTTTTTCATCTGTTGTTTCTAATAAGCAATAAGTAAAGACACATATAGGTCCCAGCTTTACTGGTGAAGAAGACCTCAGGTGCCATTCCGTGGTTTTAAAATAAAGTTGCAGATACCTATTTCCACATACAGTGCATTTTCATGAATTTAATTACGGCTACTCACTCTATTATAATGTTTATTCCATCTGCCTTTATTTTTTCTATCAATACCTTTTGGATAAACGACACGTCTGCACGATAGACACAACTGCTTAATGAGCACGTTGTTTTGCATCAAGTCTGTCAAATCGATCATTTCTAATGTTATTATTGCTGGATGTTGCTGTTTCATATATACCATTTTGTCCCTTTTTCTCAGGATACGACTAATATTTAAGGACTTTTTCTTTTACATTACATTTTCGGTATATTTCTTGTTTCACAGGCTACAGTAGAATACATGTACGCGTTTTGCACACGGTCCTATTGTGTAATTGATTTACCGGTGGTCCTGATCTGTAAATATTTGTACCCGTTTCTACATCTGAAAGAGTTTTGCACTAGATCCTATTTTGAATACTGTATTGCATACGGTCTTAGTTTTGCTTAACGTCCTGTGAGTGTTTAGCATAACGGTCCTAACTTGTATATGCTTTCACGCGGTTATAATTTATAAGTGTTCTGCTCATGGTCATGATTTGTAAGGGTTTTGCACACGGTCCTTATTTGGGAAGTGTTTTGCAAACGGTCCTTATTTTGGACGTGTTTAGCACTAGATCCTATTTTAAATATTGTATTGCATACAGTCTTAGTTTTGCTTAACGTCCTGTTAGTGTTTAGCACAACGGTCCTAATTTGTAACTACTTTTCACGCGGTCATAATTTATAAGTGTTTTGCTCATGGTCATGATTTGTGCTTTGCATACGGTCCTTGTTTGTAAATTGTTTGCTCACGGTCCTGATTTGTGAGGGTTTAGCGCACGGTCCTTATTTGTGAGACACGATACCAAACTGTATCTTTTGCGCGTGGTACAAATCAAAATATGAAAGAAGATACCATTATTACATGATTAAGAAAAAAATCTGGTGAGATAGAGAAGCTTGCCTTGCTCCTTTAGTTTACAGTCCCCATGTTTTACTTAAAGCAACATTCCTGCGAAAATGAGTTGTCCTAGATCATATAATAACATGTATGATTTATGACTGCCTTTTTCTCGTGATGTGAGGAAATAAAGAGTTTTTGGATGGACACGCACGAAATAAATTACTCTTAAAGGCAAGCCATTAATCATATGTGATAAACATCTCATTCGTATTAATATATCGCGCTTTCAGACATGGGTTTGGGTCTGCAATCCTTAATCCTTATAATTTTAAAATAACAATTTTATTTCAAAGTTCAAAGCTTATTGGCATTCAGCAAAACATTTGCCTTTGGTCATTTACAAATATATCATTATGCCAAAGACAATACATGTCATATAAAGACTTACAAACAAACATGAATATACTCATAGTAATTTAGTATTCATATAATAATCAGATGGCGAATGTCTTCTTTGCAAAACATTTTATAAAAATAATTTAGTATAAAAATTATAAAATAAATGGATGAAAAGTCAATTGTTCATTTTGATAACACTAAATGAAAACACAATAACAAACATGTAAAAGTTAAACATAAGCTTGCGACATCAAACCCAATTTAAAATAATAATTAGTTGATTAATTAATTGGTAGATTAAGTTGCTTTTGGCATTGAGAATTTTATACCGAACTCTTGGTCAATGTAATAATGACAATAAATAATAATCACAACAATAATGATTAAAAATCTTTTCAGCAAAACATTTGCCTTTGGTCATTTACAAATATATCATTATGCCAAAGACAATACATGTCATGTAAAGACTTACAAACAAACATGAATATACTCATAGTAATTTAGTATTCATATAATAATCAGATGGCGAATGTCTTCTTTGCAAAACATTTTATAAAAATAATTTAGTATAAAAATTATAAAATAAATGGATGAAAAGTCAATTGTTCATTTTGATAACACTAAATGAAAACACAATAACAAACATGTAAAAGTTAAACATAAGCTTGCGACATCAAACCCAATTTAAAATAATAATTAGTTGATTAATTAATTGGTAGATTAAGTTGCTTTTGGCATTGAGAATTTTATACCGAACTCTTGGTCAATGTAATAATGACAATAAATAATAATCACAACAATAATGATTAAAAATCTTTTCACTCTTGTAATAGACCTATCTTAGTTAATATGCTATCCTAATAAAATGGCAATTTCATATTTATTTAATTCAACAGCTTAATATGCTATTACAAAAATAGGTTCAAACCATTGTTTATGTTGAAATGAAACAATGTAATACGTAAATAACAGATGGTGAATGATGACCATTGGGAACTCTGGGTAACTAATTTACAGCATCTGAGATTTATTGATGAACAGCCGTCGGTATATATACGTGACATTTAAACAAATATAATACATGTATAGTAATGATCATAATTATTATAATTAAACAATTAAACTTACAATAAAAATAGAAAATAACATGAAAACATGATGGAGAGGAGGAGCATGGAGGAGGACTTTCTCTTTTTTGTGCGGTGTTTGTGTTTGGGGAGGGGCCTTGTTAGAATCCACCTAGATCATTACCATGAACAAATTCAACACGAATTTCAAACGGTAAACACTGATAATAAATTGAACAATAATTACCTCAGCATTTTAGCATCACATCTGGTAAACAAATTATTTGTAATTATTTAAATTTCTTCACCGATTGTATGAGTTTATGAACACAGTAAAATATATAGGTCAACTGTCAGTTTGTCTACAAGAATATCAATGGTTCTTGAAATATTAAGGCTATAAGTTAGGTTTATAGAATAAGATAAAACGTCTGGGTCATACAAGTATCAAAACAGTAATCAACCTTGAAATATATGTCGTCCTAATTTGCAAAGCTGAAATTATGAATGTCAAGTTATCAATATAAATTTTTCATAAAGAAAAAAAATATAGAAAAATGAGTATCAATTGATCTGTAACCGCAGTCAC